ATAAGCTTCTGTGTTCTTTTCTATACTCACTTCAGTCGAATTGTGCCTAACACAAAAAATAAATTACAAACATTTCCTGATCGTAAATACAATGAATACCACTGTGTTTACATTAATATATACTGAGGTTAAGATTATATGTTAACATCACGAGTTACTCATCAGTTCGACAAAGTCGACTGATTGCCAAATTCAAACAGGGTTTACGGATCGAACTGAGGACATAATATGAGCCTGAGTTCTGACTGCGAATAAAAGAAGGATAATGATCCTGTTGTTTTCCGTTATCCAAAAGAGAGTTAATCCTTCTCTGTAGAGTTCTTACATTTCCAAAAGAAAAAAAAAATTACTATTATCAGCTATTCTTCGGGCGATGTTGAGAAAGCACTGTGTGACATAGAATGAAAGATGAGAGGACTGTTTAAATATATCTATTTTTCTACAAATAAAGCAAATATTAGCTTCTCTCCGTTTCCTATTTTAATCTCTTTGACCAGAGGTTTACTTTGAATAAAACTAGATGTCATCTGGAGGTTACTGATGATGAGGCTGACAAACGCGCCCAAGGAAAAAAATAATAACGAGATAGTGTTTTATATCTTAAATCAGAAGTGATGTAGTATTCGTGCTAAATGCAAGAGATGTATCTTTCAAATTATTGGTCAAATTAAAGGCGAGGTTTGAATAAAAATAGGGCCTTCGTTTTATTTTACCCTTCCGTGAATGATTAGATTTGAACGTGAAGAACATTTAGCATCTCACAATTATTCTCCTTTACCATATAAGGGGACTGGAACGGGAAAAATATATTGCACAATAGAAAAGGGCAAATATACGGTTGGAAACGGCAGCACTAAACGATCCAAACCTTGATTTACTTCCCCGATTTTAGGCCTAGCTTTCTTAAGCAACAACCTTCAAGTGCTTCAGATTTTTTATCGTGGTTTCGTTTGTGTTGTTGTCTTCTTTCAGGCACGCTACGACACTCAGACGACGCCGTGGAATGTATTTTTAAACCTAGAGGTAAAAAAAGAGTACTAGAAAACTAGATGAAAGTGGAGTAATAAATCTCTTATTTGATGGTTTAACATATAGTAAGAGCGAACATTTTGTTCAACGCCGGCCTTTTTCCTCGCCCAAATAAAACTGGGAAAAATACAATGCAGCTCGCAAAGATCCGCCCGGGTGAAAAGTTTATCCCTGGAATAAGGTGTATCTACAAGTATGCAATTGAAGTGATAAGAATTTGTCGATAGAGGGCAGTGACACACGATCGTTTGAGTGAAAACTTCCATCAACAGGTTAATTTGTTTCCATAGAACATTTACGCAACAGTCCTTACAACAAAGGCTTATTTCACACTTTCTTGATTCCTAACTATTCTTTTCATGACATTTTCCTGCTTAACAACAACAACAACAACAACAAAAAAAAACAAAAAAGGGGAAATTCGGTGAGGCCGTATGGTGTAAAGTTTTCTTTCTAACGCCCGCTACTCAATTTTCACAAAAATAAATTAATTTGGATCGGAGCGAATGCGCACATATTTTGTTTTGACAGGGAGACAAACTTCACGTTTTTCTTCTAAATGTTTGAGTATTCTCAAGCAATTATTTTATAGCTAGATGCCATTTATCGTATATATGACAGACGATCGAAAGTTTTGTGAGAAAATTGCATTGTTTCATCTTAAAAAGATCGCTATCTAGGACTCAACTAACCAACAAAAAAATGAACGATGTAAATTAAATAAGACTTGGGTAGAGATTTATTTTCGTTGGGTAGTATAGATTCAGGATCAATTACGCTCCGCGGTCCGGTTGATTGCCCTTGTGAACAAATCTTGACCAGAATGAGTCATTCTAAATTAAGAAACGCACTGCCTATTTCACTTGGAATTGTTTACGTTTTAAGAATGTTCATATTTGATTTTCCTTCGGTGCACCCTTAAACCAGATTTAGCGTTTCTTCACCTGGTAGATCGTTTTGTCACATAATTGCCAAAGACATATTAGATTTCTGTACCTGACAGGAGGGTTCCTTAGTTTTAATTAAAATCACCAGCTGAGTCCAGATAACCCGACAACTGTGTGTCATAAAACAACACATCTTCGGCGGCCATGCAAATTAACAGCACAGGATTAATTGACAATTCAAGATCTTTCTCTTACGGATGTCAATTTGCCTAATGAAGTTGAACAGGATCCGAAAACAAATCTTTCATATCAACCGCAACCACATATTAAATAATCCGTTTTCTTCCTTTTCCTTTTCCTTTTCTTTTTTTTTTTTTTTTTTTTTGTTGTCATTATTTAACCACAACATCGAGTCGAAAAATTTCGGGGTTAACTTCTCGAAGTTATGAAGAGATTTCGAAAGAAAGAGAAGTTGTTTTACAGAAGGGACGCCTTCCTGTTGATAATAAATAAAAGTGGGGAATATGCCATACATAGCTAGCTGCAGGTTCTGAACCTTGATCAAACAACAGCTGGAACATTATCAAATTACGCGGTTTAATTCACCGAAAGACTTAAAATAAATTCAGGCGAGAAATCTAAGCCATAAATAACAACACAAAAATTACTTTTGAAAATAAAAGGAAAATGTTGAGAATTTATTTTATTCATTTTATCTTTCAGGCCACTCCTTAATCTGTTATGGTTTTAAATTAAATTCTGACAATTTCACCGGTTTAACGCTTCGAAAGTGATTACTTGAAAGCATGTCCTTCCTTTATTGACAGGGATATAAATAGTATTTATTATATGCAAGTAGGTTTTTATCACCTTCGAAGAAAAGTACCTTTCTTAATGATGGCAAAGTAAAATGAATTGCCAAAATAGATGGGCCTGGGTGACTCCATCGAGTTAGGCAGTATTTTTTTCGTAATTTATTCGTTCCTGTTTTAGAATGTCTAAAACGCGTCGTGGAGGCAGGATATTACTGTGACAAAGATCGAATCAATTTTATTCTATGTATATAAACATTTCGAGAACCAGTCGGAGGTTTCTTTGATTTGAATCATTGATAAAGTTTCACCCTGGATGATGTAGGTTACCCAGCAAAAGTTGGCAAGCTAAACCCAAACAAAAAGTAAACGGGTTTCAAATTAGTATTTGATATTAATTTTTAACCAGCATACCTAGCTGAGGGTCATTTCACGTAATGGCAAATTCATTCAGATACACCTAAAATGAAAAATAATTTTATATAGTGCGGCTGGTCAAGACATTTTCTAAAGTTTCGGGGTGAATAGCAGTTTGCAGTCAATGTTTGCCTGAGTGGAGCTCATAAAAAAGATCGTTGAATGTTATCCGTTGATGTTGTGCGCATGAAAGGGCAAGTTCAACATCATGAAATCGTTCTGATCTAAGAAAGGAAACCCATCAACTCTTGGTCGAGACGATAACACAGGATAGCTCTGAGTATCACGCCGTTCTTGAATCTTATCAATGTTACCTCGTGCTTGAATTAACATTTAATTCTCTTTTTCCCCTCTTAATCAGCACAATTCTGTCAAAACTGAACAGCACTTTAGAATACTCTTCTTCTCAAGGACCACTTGTTTTACAACGCCAGTCTCCTATTTAGCTGTAATCCGTCGAAGGTTGGGGGGGTTGTTTATACTTTGTCTACATAATTAAAATCTCAAAGTATCTTCTGCGGTAACTTGGTTTTTTGTAAAGACAATATCATACTGAGGAATAAAGTGAAATGTTTCAGTTTAATGTATGAATATCCTTTTTAGACTCTTTTCACAATACAACCGCTAGATAAATAATGTACGCAGGAAAAACATGATGCCACGAACAGATAAGTGAAATTGTTTTATACACTCACGGTCTGCAGATTACTGACTCCGTAAAATAAGTAAGAAATGAGTTAACATCACTAACAACGTTGTGCTCTCAAGAAAGTGCATTTGAAATATCTATTAAAATGATCTACCAAAACCAAAAGCTTTTAAGGAGATTCAGCTCCTGGAAACAACAAAAAAAAAGTAGTCACGGAAGAGAAAAGTAATTTTGGATTGGTAATTTCCCCCAGGGTTTAAAAATCAAAAATTTCTCTGGAGTAAGCTCTATAATGACCGATTATTGTCAGAGCTTCATCCGGAAGGCCATATGGGTTGTAAAATTTCAAAGTGAGCTAAAAAAAGGAATTGATAATAAAAGAAGTAAAATAAATTTCTATTGGCATATTCTATTGGCAAAATTTCTACAAATCTACGCCTGGTGACTAAATTTTGGGGAATACGTCTTTGATAGAAGACATAACAAACGCCTATTTTAGCAGTTGAAGTCTATATTAGTTTAACTTTTAGGGCCGGTATTGTGTCGACTTGTCACTTAATCTCAAATCCTCCCCATTCCACAAATCTTCACTTTCCGGCAAAGAGCTCAAGCACTTTCAGTATAGTGTATTCAATTCAGTTAATTCTATTTAATCGGCAGAATATTGTTATGAAGTGCCGGAAGAGGCCATAAAATTAGACTCTAAATTCTGCATTTCCTCGGAAACGACAGGAAAGTCCTTTACAAAGTGTACGAGACGTTATTTTGTTTAGTCCGAGGTTGAAGAACGATACATAACTGTCATTTGCAAAATTCCTCGCATCGTCCACTAAGAAATGATTTTTTAGTAAGTCGACATCTGAATACAATCAGCAGGAGCTTTCAATTCTGTCAAATTTCATTAAATGTTTGCTTATTCTTTCGTGTGTCAACCATACATTTAGAGTAAAGAAAACCTTGAACAAAGTTAAGTATGTTTGATAGAAGAGGATTATTAAACCCAGTGTTTGCCTTTCCCTTTCTTTTACCTCAACGAAGCGCTTCAAATCATAAATAGAACTAGTAAAAAGCCATGTGTGTGAATGTGGTGTTTATTTTTATTTCCTAGAACCAATGCCGAAAAAATTCATTAGCAGTAGTAACTGTTTGCAGTTTGTTTGATGAAAAGGCGCCAATTGTGATTATTGTGTAGGTGCTCCATCATTCGGTTGAACAAAATTAAAAAAAGCTGTAAGCTGCATCTGATTGTCGGAACACTGAGACAAGGAAAAAATCTGCCGTCATCAGTTCATTTTGCCCATCAGAATTTGACATAAACCATGTCTGTTACTGCTATTTAGCTTCGATTTTATGTTAGAACGAGTAAAAAGTAAACGATTCAAAATGGGAAAGGTCTGAGAGATGACATCAATTGTTACTTTAAGAAAAGGTAACAGAAGGTTTAAAAACGACAAAGCTAGGATCTGCTTTCGGTGATGGGTTGAACCACAAGATAAAAAAAACAGCAAATTTTAAGGTCAACCGCCGAAGTTTGTTTACACATGATAAAGAAGACTGCATCTACCAATCCCACATGAGACTCAAAGTGGAAAAAATGTTTTAATTAAACTTTTCCACACTGAATGTTGAGCTGTAAAATGAAACTTCACGGCAGCCCGTCACAACAGTAACGATAATGAGAAGGGACTTTAAACAGCAGATCAGTTTGAATACTACCTAAACAAAAAGGACCCGGCAGCTGCTCAAAGCTCACTGTTAAAACTATCTGTAATGTTTACATTGAGTAGAAAGAGTAATATTCACCGGGGTGAGGAAATCAATTCATCATAAACTGTGCGCTCCGTTTCTTATCTTCCACGGACTCTAGTATATTGATAACCATTCGATCAGATAACCAAGTTATAAAAAGACATATTCACCTCCTATCGGCCACAAGTTTGCGGCTAATATAAGCTATCAGAAAAAAAAAACAACGCACACACATACATGGAAGCACACTTTGAAATTTGCGAAAGGAGAGTCAAACGTAACACTTATCAAGCTTAAGAAACAACGCTTTTGGAGGAGGTACGACAGGGGAGAGAGACTCCGAGTTTTCCTTTTACTTGTGTAAAACAAATTCAAAGGTAAGGCAAAAGTGAGTTCGCACATAACTCGACAGAAACCGCAATGGGGGCAAGAATGAATATTTTGTCTCCAAATGCAGGTGATGATAACTTGTCACTTAACGGTTGTCGAAAGTCTGTTTTTTGAAGAAGCCGCGCCGGTGTAGTATAAAATTACACTGTTTCTGGTGCGAATCAAAGACAACTAAATTGTTAATTGTTTCTTCCTTTTATTCCATTCACGGATAGCCAACGGATAGTTAAATGCAATGAGGCTCAGGATCTGGCGACAGAGTATTTGTATAGTACTGGCGCCTCGAGACTAATTTTGACTGCATACTCGTACATCACACGGGTCCGTAGATATTAATCACGCGTCACGTCGACACGGTTGGAAAATAGTCGCAAAATCTCAGAGGTTCGGCGACAAATTACTCCTAAAAGAGGAAGACAAACCTAGCAAAATTAGACTGAGGCGATTTAATTGAACAGAAAATTGCCTGCCTTTATTTGATGAGTGGACTGGCACAGGTTATCCGGTGGATAATGTTTAAAGACCTTGATGGACATGTCGACTGGTGCATCTGCCTTTACTAAATATCCAATTGAAAATTCATCAGATTTAGTCAGACAGAACATGGAAATTGGCTTTAAAGAACAGTAAAATTGGTTTCCTTGCGTTCATCATAGCTGCCTTAGTTTCGTTTGGACCAATCGCAGGCTGACTACTGACGTCAACTGATCGCGTTCACGGCGGTAAAGGCGACATTTGAAGCCTCTTTCCACAACTCCGTTAAATTTATAAGGGATCCGCACATCAAGACATCAAACCACCAATTTGAAAGCGGAACATTTTTTTCTGAAAGTAGATCCTTGCGTGCCTTCGTAATCTGACGGCTTCGACAAGTACTTCTGGTTTGCTATTGAGCGGGTTAGTCTTTACCAGTTAACGGCCAGTTGAAAGGCTACGGTTATAGCCGGGCATTACCATTTTTCGTCTCCGTTGCAGAATTCACCAGGAATATTAGCTTTGGGATACGGTTCTCGCTGGTACCTAATATTTCAAATAATAATTTAGTGGAGCCTACGGCGACTTAAAGAACAAAAACAAATGAAACTTTGAGAAAAGGAAATAACACCGTTCGATATCCCACAAGCCATTTTGTAGTCGTGACTATGACGGAATACTTCTCCCAAAACGGAAACTTCAGCAATGTGACCTCGACAATTCTACCGACATCACAGCATCAAGCTGCGCCCCAAGATAAGCTTGCGTGGCCAAGAGTTGTATTTTATGGTGTAATAGGCATTGTTGGCAGCATAGGTAACGTTTTGGTCATATTAGCATATCGAAATCCTCGGATGCGAAGTGTCACCAATCTTTTCATAGCGAATTTGGGCGTTGCAGATCTGACTGTGACTCTCATAAACGTTCCCATCACAGTGACGTACTCAGTTCTACAGTACTGGCCATTTGGCGAGTTTCTTTGTAAAGCCATACCTTTCCTACTCGGTGTCTCACTCTTCTCCTCCGTCGGGACGTTGATAGCCATCGCGGCCGACCGATACCGAGCTATAGTCCATCCACTGCTTCCAAGAATTCGAACGCGACATGCAATCATGATCATTGCGGCAATTTGGATCGCCGCTTTCATTTATCCAATTCCGTTAATAATTTACCAACATTTTACAAAAGGTCGATGTGAAGAAAAATGGCCCACAGAAAAAGCGCAAAGGATCTTCACGGTTGTTGTGTTTGTGGCACTTTATCTGATACCACTGATCGCCATATCGGTACTGTATTTTTTAATTTGTCACAATCTTAACACTTCCCAATCTTCTACTCAGGAAGGTAAGTGCAAGGCGGCAAATTCCTGTTATTTCATAATGTATACCTGCGCCATTTCACTCGTCAAGTAACGGCAGATTTACGCGAGATGGGGCGAAAACAATTTTTTTTACAAATACAACGTAAATAATTTGTCGCTTTGAAAAGCCATAAATGCGGCGGCCTATTTCGGCGGGATCTGTTAACTTTTGCCTAAGTGTATACGGAATCTGCGCTTACTAATAGCAAAACGCGTAAATTGTGAATTATCAACATTACATTCACGCGTATCGTTCTCAGCCGGATATATTTTGAAAAGTCCCTCCTGATAAGACCTTCTTTTTTTTTTAATCTGCTCATCGAATAAGTTAAAAAGGACGAATACAAACCCACATGAAAGTTTCAAGAATAGGTACAGCACAAAAGAAAAAAGCGGGATTGTAAGCTAATTCATAAGTCCTGTTTGCTGTTTCTAATCTATAAACAAATACTCTAAAACCAAATTTGCATTAATGATAGTGGTTTTTTCCACTCATGTATCATACGAGGATAATGTGACAGCTTCGATATCTTAAAAAAACAGCAGCTTTTAAAAATCTTAAATAGAGGTCCAAAAAAACGTGAAAGTAGCTTTCAAAATAATGAATGGGTTGAGGGATTACAGCCACAATATTTCTACTGAAACTATGACGAACCAGACCTGGCGTCTTAATTTTTTCGGGTAATGATGGATACAAGCATCTGTCGTCCTACAAAACTGAAAGAAAATGCCGCTTTCTTGAATGCAAAATCCCAAATATGTTTCTTTGAAATTGGGAATTGGATGCATGTTTTAAAACAGTCTCTTTGTAATACTGTGCGTAGTAATTCTTCTTTCACTAAAAGATGTAGATTTTAATCGACGAAGTCTGCTTCTCTGTAAGAATTTTAAGGAAAAAATATCTGAAGTAGCAGCTTGTCTATTTCCCTTGCTTCTCACTGTATGTCACTGCATTGTGATGGTTAAAAGAGGTAAAAGTAAATGAGTATGGATAAAAGTTCAAAACATCGAAGTCAACAAAGCAATTTGCAGTGGTAACAAAAGAAGCAAAATATTTCCATAGCGGTCGAATTTTTTATGCATTTACGAGATTGAACAAAAACATCACATACTGTCGATAATTCCCGAAAAAAACATTGTCTTTTATGCAACTGGAATTCAATACGAAGGTGTTCACAGGTAAAATGTAGGCAACTGGATGAATAACAAGAATAAATAAATATACATATAGATAGCTTTCTTTATTAAAACTCCTGGTGATAAAATCTGCCAAAATGAGGACAACAATAGCCAAGTGTGCTCGAAGAAACACCTACAGGCACAATTTGGATTCTTCAGAATTTTCCCGAGCACAAAGCCGTCGAAAACAGAGATTAAGCTCACAATTATTCACATTAAGGGATTAATAAAGGCTTTTAATATAAAGACATTGTTGTGGTTTTTTTAGGATAGCCCCGATCTACTCCAGATAGATTTTTGTCAATTCTGCAAATGTAGAGGAATAATTCCCAGATGTAATGGAAAAAATTCCGTCGTGACCTTACCACTACACCCGTGTTAATTAGCTTTAAATAGTATAGCCATGTTTATAATGTAAAAGTTGCAAACTAAAAAGAGGTTAGAAACGAAAGTTGGCCCACATTTTTTTGAACATCACCATATATACAGAAAAAGTTTCCATTATTGCACGTACAAAGAAAATTCCCGATGGAAACTTTGAATGGAGCGGAAATTTTACGGATAAACATCGTGCTGTAGCCGCGTTGTTTATTTGAATGAGCTTTTTTAAATACATGAATACCTGCTGCGTGAAAAGGAACTCATGCTGTTCTTTCTTAAAAACGTAAAAATTGTCAGAATTAACAACATTACTGACATTGACTTATGGGTTTTAAAACCGATGCACGTTGCGCAATGAAGATGAAACAATCCATTCAGTCCATTTCTGATTACTTTGCGTTGAATCTTTAAAATTCGATTTGCTATTTTCAACAGACAAATCAAACTTTTAAGTTGTATAATACAACATTTACATCTGTCTGACCGTCTTTCTAATTCTCTGTCATTGACAAAATGAAAGGCTGTCGTTTGTGAATATTTAATTACTTTTCTTGTCCCTTGTAGATTACTAGGCGTCAAAAAGCGGATCAAAAAAGAAAAAGAGAAAAAAAAAAACATTCCATTGATTTCCGGACTAAAGAGACGTGAAACGGTGCCGTCGATTTAAGTCTACAAACAAGACTAAGCCACGATTCTAACTAAGAGACATGTTGACGTGTACTTCTTTTAATGGCAAAAATTTATAATACAATTTTAATTGGTGCCGACCATTACATGCGACCCTATTGAACTCGCAATTGTCTTGAGATATCGACACGTGAATAGAATATTAATCAAGAAGAAACAGAGAAGTTCAGCGTAATTTTGTTGGAACCCTAGTTTATTTCTTCTCTTTTTGTTTTCTTTTGTCTTTTCTTTTTCGAGAAAAGAAAAGGACTGCGTAATCCCTGGACCTCCTTGGTTGTTAATTATTTGAGATTAATACTGAGTTGTGATAAAGGAAAAGAAATTATCTGCCTCGGAAGAGGAAGATAAGTTGTTTGAAAACCCAATATTGATTGTTGACTTTATAGAATAATATTTGATCGCACTTGGGTAGAATCTTCTCCTGGTAGGGACTCTTGACACAATTGCTTAGCAAGGTACAATTTGTTTGAAAATACGTAAAAAGAAGTAAATTAATCTATTAATAGTAATTTATAACAACGGCGACTTTCTCTTTTTACAATTTAAACGAAAAACCCATTTTACGTAAATTTGAACAAGATGAGAATCCTCAACAGTAACTGACTTAACAATTAGAATCACCGGCCTTTTTCCTCTTTTAATTTCTCTTTTTTGTTTTTGTTTTTTTTTTGGTTTTTTCCGTTTTCTTTTCCGTCGCATTCATACATTTCTCAACTTAACATTTTTCCTAGGTTTTTTTATTTTACGTTACGAGCATTTCATGTCGACTTTTTGGGCTCAGACCTTAAGGCAACGAAAGTTAACGGCTGGTGAATTTATAAGTACTAAGCCTGACAAAAAGGCAATATTAAACTCAATTCAAAACTCCTCGTGAAGCTGTCAAAATGTAAACATTTATTAAGGCCATTTGGGCCTTTTAGCTTCATCGTACATTATCTGGCAGTATCATGTGACCAACGCAAAGTGTTCCGAACAGGGCACCAGAAACATGACAATTGCAGTTACTAATCCCTTTCACACCAGAAAAATTTATTTGCTTTTAAATAAATACCTTTGTCTTATTAGCCGATGAATTCATCACGATGTACAATTTTGGCGAGTCGTATTCTCAGTGTAGACTATTTTCTGGCTGCATGCTGAACGTTATGTGTCAAAGATCGGTTTGTTTTCATAATATAGTCATACAATTTAAGGACTTAACAATGTTCCTGTAATTAGGTAACCATTCGATCTCTCATAAAATTTTCCAGTAGTTTTTTTGTCCTCTTAAGACTTGGGTAAACAATTTACCATGTTTTAACTTTGGTGCGTATGATAATTTGGGAACATTCCTTGCGTTTACAAACTTAACCGAAAACCAATTAAAGAACTAAAAGTATTGATATTAAAATATGCCAAGATTACTTTTCTTCGCGGGCATAAGTTTTACTCAAGAGGAATAATTCATGTTCGCGCAGTTGTATCGATAAAGCTTTTTATTTGACTTAAATCGCCCCCTTTTCCGTCACACAAGAATGAGCACCACGCGAGGCCTCCAACCACGCTGGGAATTCTGCACAAACTTAAAATTTAGAAGTCGAAATACGGTAGTCAAAAACGATATTGAAAGAAAAGCTTGTATTATTTTAATTTCTTGTCATTACAGTATGCTTTCGAAAACATCTCATTCGATAATCTCTCACTGCCGCCTGAGAAGGCTTTTACGATAAGACAAGGGAAAGTTTTTTTTTTTTTTTGTAGAAAACTCCCCTGGTGCTTCAATGAACACATTTCTCCACTGAAAGTACTTGATGAAGTATAGCAATAATGATAAATATATGTCCTCTGAATTTTTCAAGGGGTCTTTAGGTATGGATCTTTGTCATTGGATGCCACGCCCATCAAGAAATTGTTGCTAGGGGCAGAATTGCTTGAGCTAAAGAAAAATTCAGACTTCATTCAAATGTCTTTGATCACTAACTGTTTCATTTAAAAACCCAGGCCGTGTAAATATGTAAAATGAGTGTCAAAAAATTCATTGAAAGTATCGAAAAAAAAGGATGACTTTCAGACTCTGGTTAGAACATGGTTGTGCTAAGAGTCCTAAGAGGGTAACAGTTAATGGACGTCCATTTTTAATTTTGAATTTGTGATTGATTGAGAGTGGGAAAAGCTTTTCTTTTTCTATTTTGCTTAAGGGTGCTCCAATGAAAGCTTAGCGGAATGGATTTGATGAAACTAGAACTTACTATGCCGTTATCTTATATTTAGGCTAAATTATCCTCGAGGTTATTCTCTTCACCTGTTCTAGTGTAGAACTAAAAGTAGCCCTGAATTGTTATGACATTTTAGAATATGGAGCATATCTTGAGCGAATTATATAAAAAAAAAAAAAATAGAGAAATATAACATTGTAAGTTCGCAGCAGTAGTGATCGTAGTAAATATGTTGGTTAACAAAATCATCAATAATGATTCAACCAAAGAGGCCGTTGTCATAACGGAGTGTCAGTAACGAACATAGGGTGCAAACTGGGTTTAAAAAGATATTCAGATCAAAATTATGAATAATCAGTCATTTCTGTAAATTATTCAATTATGTTTCGAGGTGGCTGACCTCTCTACATTGTTTTTCTCTAATTCTTTTCCTGTAAAGCACACGCGCTTTAAAAAGCTCGAAAACGTTTAAATAAGAATCGATTTTGAAGGACTGTAATTTTAATTTGTAGCTTCAGCAATTGATTGTCGAAATTTCTCTTTCATCATCAAACAATTTCAGGCTACTTCATAGACAAAATATATCTGTTTCCAACCATTACAATACTACACCACCCTTTATTCTAGCGTTATCTGTCTGTAAGTCTTGCTTATTTTGATCAACCCATTTTGTAGTAACGAATTTCAACCAACATATAAAACTTCAGTTACGTGTTTTCGGTTTCAAATCTGTATCTCAGGCTTAGAGCCAGTCTAATCTTGTAACAATTTAGGATAGCTCTGAACCTACAATACAATTAATACAATTTTTCAAGAATTTGTAAAAAAGTTGAATCCTTCATTATGATTACAATTTGATGATAAAAAATGGGGGGAGTCGCAAATTTGTTTAAGATTTGCAGGTGTATCAAGCTAAATTTTAAGGTGTCTAAAAAGGTAGAGTGATCGAAAGATGACTTTTTTTGAAAGAAATGACTGAGTTTTTGTCTTAATCCCATTTTCAAGAAAGCAAAACCAAAGGCGTGGCAGCAACCGTCCATCAACGAATTGGTGTTAAAAATATGCAAACTGTTTTGAACCAGCTCAATTCAATTTCTACTGATCGGTGGCGCAAGAACAAACTTTTCACCCAACCAAAGTAAAACCCACATGTAAATATGATCTAGGTAAACGAATAAAGGAAAAAGAATGAAGAACAAATAAGATTATGTACACAGTTGTAAAAATTCAAAGGCATCATCGAAAAGACACGCCTTCGATCATTGCCCCTACCTTATTTGTTTGGAACTTGAACTTAAACACGATTTTAAACGACTGCATTTAAACAGTTCTTTTTATCCAAATACGACTCCGTTATTTTTTTCAAGTCCGTTCAACAGATCTCTTCGGATGAAAACTTTTAATAAAGCTTAGGAAAAGAAGAATTGACCAATTCTTGTTTTCAATTTATTTAGAATACGTCATTTAGAAATATCAGTTCATATGTGACAGGTCCATTTCCTAAGGGCTACAGTGGTCGAGGTTATCGGCCAAATTTATCTTTAAAACATCTCGAGGACGTGCATGTTTCATTTTCAAACAATAAATAAGCAACCTAGTTGAAGTATGAAAGAAATTCATGACCGCGGTTAGAACTAAAAGCAAACAATCAGATGACAGTATCAGATGTGTTAATTCGGTGGGAAAATGAACTTACCCAACATGTGTCCGGGTAACGTGCTACGTGCTCGGACATGTGTCAAATAGTTCTTCCCCTTTGCCCAATCAAAATGGAAATTGTCTTCTCGCCAATTTAAAAATGAAATCTTGACATTCGCCCAGCAGTTTCACACGATATTCAGCTTTCGTGTACTTCTTATCATCCCCGAACTTGAAAATCTCAAAGTTGACAAGTTTCAAGTATGAACAAAAAGGGCATACAGACTGTGTTTGACCCTCTATAACTCTATAGAGGAATAAAAGAACTGCATCGTACGAATAAATAATGTGTAGTATAATTGGATTACTGAAGTAACACGGCCCATCTGAGCAGTGAATCTAACAAATAGGCCGTTTCAAAGCTTACACACAAGCGCACAAAGCCCGATCTTTGATAAGGGTCAAGTTATTTTAAGAATATTTATAGCGGTCCTTTTGGAATTCCAGGGCTTTCAACGAGATGTCAAATTCAGTTATCAAGATCACAACTTAAAAAAAAAGAAAGAAAAAAAAAGTAAACTGGACGCATACCTTTCGTACTTGTTGCTTTATTCAGGGTTCTCGAAGAGTGAGGAAGGATTCTGAAACGAAAATATGGAGACGTCGTTCATTACACGACAATAACAGAGGCACTCAAACCTTACTTTCTAAATACGCTTTGCAAAGGCAGGGGAGCTGTCGCGAACCGATTAGCGACTGTGTCAAGGACTGGAACAACTTAAAATTATCACTTAGTTAAAACAGTTAAAATTTCCTAAAGAATTATGTGAGACAATTAAAATATTTTCAACAAAGAAATTAAGACTATTTCTTCATGGGTCTAACAACTCGAATACTTTAATACTGTTTTTTTTTTTTGTTTTATTTTGTTTTGTTAGAAGAAACTTGAAGAAATTTGATCGATTAGGAGGCTTCACATTCTCGCGCTTTTTTAGACTATAAAATAGGTAGCGATGTTGGAGTCTGGAAATGTTATTCCTTTCCGATGGTTCGGGCTATTAAGACCAGGTTTATACACCGAATGCAAATATGGCGTCCAATTTGAATTGCCATTGTTCTGGACTTACTAGCCTCGTCTTCACGTGGAAAACACAAAAGGGTTATTACATGTGTGAGAGGCTAGTGAGTCCAAAACAATGGCAACTCAAATTGGTCGCCATATTTGCATTCGGTGTATTGCACTTAGCATTCCAGATTGGCTATACACAGTACTTAAGTGCAGTAATAAATTATGAGATCAGTTTCAGCTAATCTTTGAAAAAAGGGAAAACAAAAAACAGCAATAAAAAACAATGGATTGATTTGCATTGCTTTTTATTTCTGTTGTGTCTTTTTCCTGTACAACTCCATAAAACGTATTAATTGAATGGTCAACGACCCCAGTCATGAGATTTCTCTTAAATGCTGTATATATTCCTATCATATATTCCGTAGGAGCTCGCCGAGCGAAGAAAAGTGTCATTCGTATGCTAGTTGTTGTGGTAGTTCTATTCACCGTCTGCTGGCTTCCATACCACGTAATGATGATATACGATAACTTTGGTGGACAAATGACAGTCACCGTCTTTCAGTTGATAATGTTCAGCATGTGGTTAAGTTTTGCCAACAGTTGCTGTAACCCCATCGTTTACGCTGTATTGAACCGCAACTATCGGAAAGAGTTCGCTAGACTATTGAGGTATGCATCAAAGAATACGGAGAAAAACAATTATATGGAACTTCTCCACCTTTAGTCTCAATTATCGCTGTTTCCACGAGTCGAGAAGAGCGTGGGCTCATTTCTTGATCAGCGGCTGATCATCATGCCCCCTAAAATTTACACCCTCGCACTCACATGTCACTAAAGAACCAAAAGCAAAAAAATAAAACCTCTAAAATGACAAAGGAAGGTAAAGAGCAGCTTTTGGTTTGAAAGTACGTCTTTTTATCACAAAAAGTGGCGGTTGGATCCTTGCTTCTACACAACGCAAATTTCTCCTGTCTTTCTCTTTAGGTGTCAAGCACTTAAAGCCTACAGGAACTCTGACTCGCAATATGGTAAGGACAGACGATTTTCTTCGGAAACAAAAACAAGTTATAAGATAACAAAGCTATCTCTGAAGAGAAAGAATATTGTCAACGAAGATCTTTCAATGGAAAATAAAGCCATGGCCAATAGCGTTCAAGGAAACAGCTCGAGCGGCAACTCAAGCCAAGGCGCCAGAGAAGAAAAACTACCGGTATGTTCTGAGACAAGAATGTGATCACTAGTAAAATTATTCTCGCTAATGACAACACTTCTCGGGATAACTGCTGTTTTTTTGATCGTAGAAAAAACAAAGGAGCAAGGTGAAGAAGACTAAACCTATTATGATTTAAAATCCATGCATGATAACAATAAAGCTGCAAGTAAAGATAATGTATATCATCGTCTACGTAAGACATTGGAGCGCGGTTTTCCTGTATTGCTGAGTTTTATCGTCCAGCTTAAATCGCACTGCGAACCAAAGCGATACAATAAGGGAAAAAAAAACGTCCATCAGTGCCCCACGACGTTTCCTTGTAATCCTATCTGGATAATCAAGTTCTGGCCTGACACGGATCTCCAGTCTGCCTTTCAGAGGGGGTGCGATTTTGTCGCCCAGTCAAACACTAATTTATGAACTCACTGCATGGAGTAGTTAACAAGAAATTGAGAAAGTTTAGATAATGGTCTTCATTGACATCAGCTGATGCTGGAAATTAGCTGAATGCGACGATACAGGTAATGAAAAAGCAATCGCCGTCTGACACTTCAACCTGAACACACAACCTGAAATATCAACGGGTAATCTACTATCTTCTAGCGATTACGAAGTCGACTCACGGTACTCAGTGTCTGATCACAGAAGATTATTATGCGAACTGTGGCGGATCCTAGAAAAAGCTTGAAACATTTTTTGCAAATACCCTTTTTCCTCGAATAAGCGCCCGGGCGCTTATTTAAACTTCGGCTAAACGGAAGGGGGGAGGGGCAGGGAGGCTGAAACTCACTGAGCTTGTAGTCCAGCGGGATGGGTATTACGGCGCACAAAGCGCGCGTCTCAAACAATAGGCACGGCCGCGTGGCATGCCCGCAAAATCCGAGAAAACGCGCGCTGGTGGCATGTTGAGAGCCCTGGCAAAGATGGGATACGTGGGCAGGGAGGCTGAAACTCACTGAGCTTGTAGTCCAGCGGGATGGGTATTACGGCGCACAAAGCGCGCGTCTCAAACAATAGGCACGGCCGCGTGGCATGCCCGCAAAATCGCATAGGTGATGTGAAAATACGAAGTTTCTTTCCACAAAAAAGAAACGTGCAGTTTCCTGCTCTGCAAATAAATAAATCTCCAGCAAAAGGTATTGGGCAACAAAGCACAAATACAAAATAAATTAACGTGTTTATTTACCATAAACAACAGGGGGAGGGGGAGGGAGGTGGGGGGCTTATTTGAAGGAGGGTGCTTAATTCGTTTATTTTAAAATATTTCCTTTCAGCAGAAAACAGAGACAATAATTACAACATTATCTACGATGACATAAGTCAAAGTCAATATCTTCCGTTTGTTTAATTAAACAACGGGGAAAGACGTATTTGGTTAAAATAAGCCAAGACGCACGGCGAGGCGACAAATGCAGTTGGAAGTTACAAAGTGAAGGACGTGAATTGGACTGACAATTGAAAGCTTGTTGGTCATATTTCTATCATTTAAATGCATTTCTTACAAACTGTTTTCCGCAAACGCATCCCAAAAGGAAAAATAATTAAAAGGACAGATAACGCACATTAAGAAACTCTGCAATCACTTGGAGATAGAATCAACTAGAAGAGAAAAATTAACGCAAAAGAAAGCTATTCACCTCGACTGATTCCGCTGTAGTTAATGGTTAAAAAGTTATAAATAAATTGGCAATATAAACGCACATTAAGAAACTCTGCAACCACTTTGAAATAGAAATAACTGGAAGGGAAAAAATAACGGAAAGGAAACTACTCGCCTGTACTGATTCCACTGTAGTTGAAGGTTAAAACGTTAGAAATAAATCGGCAATATAAACAGGACAGGCTTTTTTTGCATCCCGAAGGTGAGGGAGGTGAGGAGAGGGGGGGACGCTTCTTAGAGGGAGGCACTTATTTGACATTTTGGCCTAAGAAGTGGGCGCTTATTCAGGGGAGGGTGCTTATTCGAGGAAATACAAAAGAATTCAGCTCCGAACTGAAAGATGCAAGCAACTCACTGTATGCAAGCAGTTAGCATTCCGAAATTTCATAGTAATGCTATTCCAAGTTTACATGGTAGAAAGTGAAGGAAATGGACTATGAGTGTCATGTGAAGTTTTGTCTAAATATCACATGCATTTCTCCCCTTCAAATATGGACAAATCTTCCACATACTTTCTAAGCTGTGAAGTATGACCACTGTTTAAGAACCCTCTAGATAGAGTTTTAAAATAACAAGTTACGTAAACATTTAAATCAAATAATGAATATTTGACGCGACCTCGTAGAAGCTCAGATTTCAACAGTGTACCATTTAAGTTGAACAGTGTTCATAAGTGTTAAATACACTCTATTGTACATGTCAAAGTGAAGTTCTTATTGTATAACAGCAATATGAGGCTGGTTATAATTAACGCTACGTCTAATTTGCATGAACTGGACACGCTTTCTTCCTTTCCACCGTTTTTGCAAACTGAATGTGGAAATCTTTATACTTCCAGTAAATGGGGGATATTTTTTCATTCTTTTATCCCTTGGATATATTCAAGAATAAGGGAAAAAGTAAGGACAACAGGACAAGTTAAGCGAAATGAGTGTTACATTTTGCACACGTGGTTGTAATTCACATGGAATTCTTATCTGAACGTACTGGCTGAGCTCTAGAATTTGACACTGGATATACTTCACCAAGATCTTAAATCAAAAGAGATCGGAATAAATTAACCTTACCTTGTACGAGTGTGCTTTTCTTGTTATTGTTGAAATGAAGAAAACAGTACAGGCCGGCCATTTTGAATTTTATAAACACGGTCTCATCCCGAAGTCTGGAACCTATTCGAGCCTCGTTATCACCGTCGTTGAGTGCTCGGAGATTTGAGGAAATTCCGAACTTTCCTCGGGTCCCTCAATCGAGAACAATGAAGCATTGGTCATATTTGTATGCTTTTTTCTGACATAAAACGCTCTCTTCTACTTTGAGGAAAAAGGTACGTAATCAAAAATCCGCCGTTAGTAGACCGCGGCCGTTGAACACATGATAAGTAAAATGAACGACTCGAATTCCTATCGTAAACTGATAAGTCATCCATGCTCACAAACCAAGGCAGGAAGTTCGTTTATAATGAAATAAACACTGATTAAAAAAATAAAAAAATAAAAATAGATACAAACAATAAAACATAAATATACTGCATTGCATTCCTACGGGCTTGCTATCTCGCCAAAAACGTAAGGAAAGTGCCTTACACTATTGGTCGTTTTCATATTCTTTATTAGAAAACTATATTAGCAGCTAACGTACGCAGGGCCGTATGGGTTGACGTTAGCCGGTCCGGAAAAAAACGTCCGGCCCTGCTACACTCGTGTCGCTTTGTTGAAAACAAAAACGAGAAAAAAGTCGCGTTTTCCAAGGAAGTGGGAGTTTCTTGTACAGACTTAAAAAATAAAGATAAATTTATCATTCCAGGATATTTTTTTTTGTGTTCGTATGGCTGCGTACATGCGCGTGCCCTTTTATCGCGTCCTATTTAGGTTTAATATTTCAACAATTAGTGGTCCGGATAAAATGCTCTTTGTCATGAGGTTAGGCACGAACCTCGCTGCGCTCGGTCCGTACGTCATGACTTCGAGCCAAATATTTTCACGTCCAGACCTCCCACTCGGGCAATAAGTACTTATCATTATATGACCCGTCTGCTTCACTCGCGCAATCCCAAAGAAAACTATAGTAAAAGCTGACGTGTGCAGGGCCGGACGGGTTGACGTGAGCCAGTCCGGAAAAAGCCGTCCGGCCCTGCTGCCCTCACATCGCTTTTTTGCAAAGTCTTAACGGAAACTTAAATGAGAAAAAAGTCGTGTTTTTCAAGGAATTGTGAGTTTCTTGTTCTAATTTAAAAGTTAAAGTCGAAATTTCAGAAATTTTATTTTTTGTGTGCTCGTGTGGATGCGCGTGCTCGTCTATCACGTCCTCTTTCAGTTGAAATTTTCAACTTTTACTGGTCATATGATAAAATGCTTATTGACTGAGTTTGGTCGGGTCGGACAAGAAAATATTTGGTAATAAGGCACGGACGTCATGGCCTCGGGCCAAATATTTTCCCGTCCATCCCTTCCACTCAGTCAATAGGTACATAGTATATTTCTAGGGAAGAAATATATGGGGAAAACAGCGAACTGGATGATGGCAGACCTCGGAATGATACGAAATAGGATATCTCCCAAAGAAAGCTCAAGTATCTTGAAAGGAATGACCACTTTGCAAAAACGACAGTGATTGAAGCCTGAAGGTAACTATGAGCTGTTAACGTGGCAAATTATAATCTGGGGAAAAAATTTACGTAAACTAGGAACATCTACATTAAAAATCTAGGCAGCAATTGAGCATTCATGGAAGTTAACAGATTTATTTCGTTCTTTTAGACGTACATGTAAATCTAAATCGAATGAAGTGGCATTCTCTACTTCACCCATATACGCTTGAAATCAAGGTTAACTAAAGGAGCTACGATCATGAAACTTAGAACGTATTTCACTAGCATTTTCTAGTGATAACCTCGATTACAAGCCACAATCAGTTGCATTTCATAGGTGATGTGAAAATACGAAGTTTCTTTCCATAAAAAAGAAACGTGCAGTTTCCTGCTCTGCAAATAAATAAATCTCCAGCAAAAGGTATTGGGCAACAAAGCACAAATACAAAATAAATTAACGTGTTTATTTACCATAAACAACCTGCCCAATGAACTAACTGGAGGAATGGTTTCACTGAACTAAAAATCTATCTTCAATTAAATTTAAAACAATTATCGATATTCCCTAAACTTATCATGGCTCTATTCCTGCAAAACCCACTAATATTAGTATTACTATCAACTTTCTTCTCGTTCATCGTGGAATGCAACGTTGGTCGGAGCGATCTCATTTCTAGAACAATTCAGATCAACGCAAAGTTAACGTAGGCGTCCAGTTGAAGTTGATTTCATTCTCGTTTTCAGCACCAACTACTATATAATAACCTTAGATAGCCAGAATTAAAACTAGTGAACTGATTAAACAAAAAGAAAGTAGAACATACGAACCGCCAAAGGTATAACGTGGAAAACATGCCAACGAGTTTTTGAAGCTAGATTGCTCTAAACGAATAAACATTACAGAACCCTTTCGATTATTTATTGTTGCGACAAATTGCGTTAAATTTAAAAAGTCAGTGATGAAGCATTGACTTTTCACCTCCAACGTTAACTGATATTAATATCTAAATCCATTGTCGCCTTTTATAATTTACATGAATAATATAAAAATATATACCACTGAAATAATCGGACATGTCTGGGCAGTAACGAGACCTGTCATGTAACTGCTCTCTTCAGGAGGCCTGGCAATCCTCAAGTCAACTATATCTTAGGTTGTATTCTTATGGAATGAAATACATTAAATACTTAATACATTCTTCTATAAATATCAGCACCCAGCCTTCCCCCCAGGATATATACAGAATATGTGTAGCAGGTAGATAAAGGAAATTTATGCTTTAGTTAATTCTCAATAGAACGAGTTTCAGATATTCCATGGGATGTTAGGTACTTGTTGTGGGGTTCGTGAGGTTAGCCTGCCTGATTTAAAATAGGCAACAAAAGCCCTTTTCAACTGAAGAGTTGTGGCGTAACGGAGTTTCCAAGCCTTGTAACCCGTTATCAGCTTCAAAAGTATCCTAACTTGCTTAAAGGCCAGGTAGTTGCTGACCTTTGAGATGTGCATCATCGTCGGATCTGACTGCTGCCCCATGTTAGGTCACTGAGAAAAACACGGGACACCTTATGGAGTACTCCCGAGTGCTCCAGCTATTCAGTCGTAACCTCACAAACATTTTCACGAAGGTCTACCGAATATGATACACGTTTCGTCGTCAAATCCGATACTGGAGCATATTGAAAGATGCCGAAGTCTTTTAACTGGCTAATAACGTAATCCATGGATTTTTTGCCTGATATCTACGGAGTAGCCGTTTCTCCTCTGTCAATTGATTTAAAAAAATTAGAAATACTGGTAAAGGGTATGCAATAACCATTACTGTACAAAAAATAAATTACGAGCAAAGATCTTCACATCGAAATATTTGGTTAAATGCTACCTAATGGAAGACACTAATTTGTTTCTTCTATGAGAATGTTGACTTGAAGGACCGGGACCTGAAATAACGACAAATAAATGTATTAGAATTGCCAGCTGAAAAATCTCAATTGCTACTTCTTACGTTTTGCAGGTCAGTCGAGTTTTCACTTAAAGAAGAAAACTTAGGAGAGTAAATACTTAGAAACTAATTTCTCTCATGAATTGGTTTCAGGAGAATCTGATCAATTTCCAGTGTTGAAGTTACTATTTCTGTCCACACATGTTCGTTAAAGGGGACAAACTTTGCGGTGAAACGGCTTGGGTACATAGTCCTGGTAACAGTGTGGTTTAAAAGCGAGTGCAAACCAGATGGATACCACCTTCAACACAGTTCTAAAGTTCTAAATGAGCCCTTCCCTTATCTGTTCTCTCATCCAAAAGCAGGAAAAAGAACAAAGGTAACGATCAAGTAGTTTAGAAAATATGTCCTTGCGGGAGCTTACAAAATAATAATAATAAAAAACCACTCACTTTTAAGGCCTTCGTATTCCTCGTCACTAACGGGTGAAATTTCTCGCCCATCGTACTGGTGGCTGCTAGATGACGTAAGCGCTGACGCGTTCGCTTCAGTGGCAGGGTGAGTGCTAATTGGCATGCTCACACCAGTGATTCCCCCCAGAGGGCTCTGTGCATGTCTCATTTGACCTCGAGAATACATTCCTTGCGTTAAATGAGTTCCGCTGGGGGTGGATAATCGTCGATGTGGTGTGTCATTCTGTAGCAAGAAAAGGAAAAGATGAACCTGATGGTCCCAGTAACCTAAACACTGACTGAAACTACATCAATTGCTGAATAGATTTTGTCTTGAGGGATGCTAATACAATTTGTCTTATTGATTAGTAATTAGGAATTCCTGCAATTACAGTACTTCTGCCAAAACCTCAATCAAACTTACTCTCAATGAATGTGTTGCTATTGATGTATTTGGTCTGGACGACTCTGTAACATTCCTTGCTCTATCCTTAAAAGATTGCCTTGAAAAGTGGAGAAAGAAGTGTAAGGACAAACTATACCTCTACAGGAAAAATTAGTTTAATTTAGGAAATGCAACTGAAATAGTAAGACACTAAAGATGATGCAATGCTGTAATTTATCCATAGAAATCAAAAATTGATCACCATGGGCAAACCAGACGAGCTCTACATCTACTAGATATAATAATAAATCTTTCGGGCACTAATGTATCACCTAGAATCGTCTGTTGCGGCACTTGATGCACGTGATTGGCGGAATGAAACTTGTTTCTGAAAGACAAATAGATCCACGGGTTAGGAAATCCTTACATGATGTTGCGTTCACTACAACAACGCGATAAAACAGTGAATAGAAAGAAATTTCTCACCGCGCTATTTCTTCCTCCGTTCTGTTGAACAGGTGTCTCTCTGTTGGTAAAAACATCTATCGGAGGGAGAACGAAGTTCCTTCCCCTACAAAATATTAAACATCAAAAGAGACACACTCAGGCCAGGGAAATGGTTTAAACTCTTTCCTATATTTCTTGACAACTTGTAACCGTTCAAGAGTTTTCACTGAGCAGCAATTAGTTTCTGTTTCATCAGTTTCACTGGCGATGCACCTCTCACCAATAAAATCGCAAATGCCTTAGGTGTGGTTACCATAATATCTGATTATATGCCAGAAGACCTTTTCATTTTATTTTACTTTATTTATTTATTTTTTTTGACAGCTAACTATTTGTTTTGTTTTGTCCGTTTATTGTACTTGTGACTCGTGACCATGGGTGCTGTATATGGGCACAGTTAATGTTCCATAAAGGTGGGAAGAAAGTCTCATCAGCAATTTTCAGTTAATTATCCGCCCACTTACATGTAAGGCGCTGGAGAATTTGAATTCGTGGCTTGAGGCGGAGATGACAGTCTTTCCTTCTCTGGAAATCTAAAAAGATGCACAGTACGAGATCGATATTCAAACCTCTTTCTTGGGGTTTATTCCTCGGATGAGAAAGTTATAATTCTTAAGAAAAAAAAAAAACAGCTTTATAAACAAACTTACAGTTTCCTTCCTTGCACGATACCGCCCATGACATCTTCCTGAACGGAACAAAAGAATAAATAGCAATGTTTACTCATCTAGCTAGTTCAAACAACAACAATAACAGATACAGATATGAGAATGACAAGGAAAACCTGGTTTAAGAATAAGTGCTAATTTTGAAACGAGAGGGTTGAAAAAAAAAAAAAAAAAAAAAAAAAAACAGACTACTGACAACGTTTTCTTAAAACTCTCCTAAAAGAAATCTAATTTGTAGTGTAGAGAGCATGTGTCTCAAAATAACTCAATATGTAATAGAACATGTATCTCAAGAAAAACGCTATCGGTAACTTTTTAGAAAACACAAGGGGGGGAGGTGGGGGCAAGGCCAAGCAGAGGTCTCAGGCATCATCGTGGAGCCTATTTCATGTACCTGGACGCTAGGTGTTTTAGGTTTACTGCTGTCCAAATGGGTCAAGGGGGGGGTACTAGGTAAATTCCTGAAAAAGAAAAATTAGTAATAATCATAAATAGAGGGGGGGACAAGCAAGACAAACGACAATCTGTGCTGAAAGGTCTTAACATCGCACAGGGGGGGGGTCGGCGCCTTTGTTGAATAAGACGAGGAACACAACAGTTTTGCCATTGGGGGGGTAGTTGTTTATCAAAGAGTAGTTTTCACGTAATCGAATAGGAAAGAAATGGGGGGGTATAATCCCCTGATTGTAGAAGGTTCCTATTAATTCACCTAAAATTTGTGGGGGGGGTTTACTTTTTTGTTCGTTTGTTTATTTCCTATGAGCAAGTATTCTGATTCCCCCCTCCACCTACCAGTTTCACACCTCTGACTTTTTGGGGTTCATGTTTGAAGGGGGGGGCATGCATCGATTAACGCCTCCATTTAACACTTCACTGCGTATAGCTATAGCTGAATGAGTGTACGACTCTAAGATAAGACACGCATTGGTTCTATCAATAGTTCCACAAACCTATTTCTCTTAAATGGCATCATCTTGTGCATGAATGGATCTGAACTGTGGGGGGGGATTCGTGTAGAGCGTGAAATCACTGTACTGCTGGATCCTGGCCGGCCCTATCAACGACAAAGGCAAGCTTCTTAGAAATGATTACCTGACTATGGATAAGGTGTGGGGGGGGAAAGTTACACGACTAAAATACTGCCCGAATGACTATACATGTACTGTACGTTTGCGGATTGCATAATAGGAAATCCAATAGTCCATTTTACAGTTGTGTGCTTGGGGGGGGGGCCTTTGAATGGGAGTGAGGCTAGGGTTGGCCTTGTTATGATACAAACCGGGGGGGCTTTCAAATGTAAATCACTTTGTTATCATGCTAACTAGATACAGGTCTCTATCACAACAAGGTCACCTTCAGCCTCACTCTGAATCAAAGGCTTGGCAACTAAGTGGGGGGGTGTAAAATGGCCTATTGTTTTATCATCAGTTATATGCAATATTCTACCAGGGGGGGGACACATTTTATGTACATACATACAAGTACACTGCAGAACATGCAAACATCCAAGAAACAAAGCCACCAAGCACAGTTTTACCATTTTGTCAACACAAATTAAAAGGGGGGGGACTTAATATCAGACAAACCGGATTAAAGGGCGTCCCTTCTCTGCTGTCGGGGGGGCTGCAAAAATGGAATAAACAGTGACTTTCAATAGTAATTATTTTTTTGAGGGGGGGATTCTTTTACTTACAACAGATGTTACTACACTATACATGTTCAAAAAATGGGGGGGAAACTGTATATGATGTGTTTAAGCTCTGTCTTTTAAGGAAGATATAGCTGGGGGGGTGTTTCCTTCCCATAAATAAATATATACATGTATGTGTAACATTCACTACTTACTGAGAGGTGCTTGCAGAAGGGGCCCTTGGATTCAATGGCATTGGTCGAACCTTCATTGCATTTATTAAACTACTTTGATCAGGTTGGGGGTTAAAACTTGAAAATGTCTTTAGTCTTGACTGCAGAAAAAAAAAAAGCAGCAGCAGCATAAATACATGTATGTACATTTGTGTTGCAAAAGCATGAAGAAAAGTACAAGGAGTATGGCAGAAAGAGTAAAAAACAGCCATAAAATCATTTGTTTAAGTACAACGAGTGATTAACTCCAGCTCACCGGGGGGGAAAAGTGATTCCTTGACATGACACTTTGTGAATATGGCCGAAGTGGGCTCTCAATGGCACGATCAGAAGACACCACCACATCAGCCAGAAACTGTTGTTTGTCTGTAAAGGTGCATACAAAATGGTCAAGTGATTAAGAAGTATGACTGCAGATGCCTCAGGCAAAAACAGACACATATGGTTAAAACATTTATCAAAAGCAATTCTTGAATACAGAAAGCATGACATCACAACCCTGTTTACTGGTTCTTGTATGTACTCTCATCTTAAAAAACTTATCAACCAATGAGAGCTTGCTAATACTAAACATGTCTAAAATATTTCACAGACATGTATAATTGCATGTAAGTCTGCTGTCTTTTTCTCCCAATCTCAATTCTTTTGCAAAGGTCAACTGTGATTTAGATTTGCTGTTAAAATTTGCAGCAAGTTAAAAAGCAAAAATTTAAACATAGTTTTGAAAGTGTTATTAAAGTAAAAACAAGGGGGAGGGGGGTGAGAAGTTATGTTTTCCTAGCATGTACTCTTTGCGAGATACATGTAACTCTCACTGAATGATGCCACACTACCAGACAGAGGTGCTATGAGAAAATGAGAACAAACTAAATAAACCATACCTCTCAGCACTTTTTGTGAGTAAAGACTTAACAAACTTCTTAGCCATAAAACCACCTAAAACATTGATGAAAAAAACATTTGACACAATTTGATCAAAATCTCTGAGTGATTATTGAGGGCAGTCTTCTGCTGCAGAACATGCACTTTTCAAAACAACACGGGGGGGATTTAAAAAAAAATAATAATTACAGTGTACACGACTGTACAACTAATGAAAGTGAAGGGCCACAAGGTTTGAGACTAATTTGTACATGTAGTTAGCTTCCATGTTTAAGAAGCATTTAAACTATCCAAACTTGCTTTTCAAAACCAATTTTTAATGCATTCCAATTATCATGGAAAGGCCAAAATATTCATAGGTCTCAATGTGTTCAAGTGTTCTGCTTTGCCTCCACACCATGATGGAGGAAAAAGTTTACCTCTCCCCAGACTTGGTCAAACATCTGACTGACAACAGCATCCTTAGCACAAGCATTGGGGGTCACAGGGGGGTAACCTCGCCGCTGCTGACGGCGATACCTCATACCAGTTCGGGCCTCTGTTACCTCTTCCTCACTACAGAACAAAATAAGTACAAATTAAAGTAAATAACACTGCCCAGTTAGCCCAATGGATAGTGCACTGGACTGTTGTGCGGGAGATCAAGGATTCAAACCCCGGCCAGACCAACACTCAAGGTCTTAAAATAATTTAGAAGAATTTGCTACCTTTCTATAACATCAAGAAATGGTTAGAAATTCTAGTCTTCTCGGATAGGGACGAATAAATGGAGGTCCCGTCTCCTGCAGGGTTAGGGGTAGGAGACGTTAATTTCCCACACACACGAGATTACTGTGTGATGGATGTCCTCCCCTGGGGTGGGATGGGTGGGAAGGTGAGATCAATGGACTGTTCAAGCGGTTGCCAGCTGACGCCTGTTCTCAACCTTAAAAAAAAACTATACCTGTAATTCAGTCTCAGGCTGCAAGTGGTCAGAAATAAACTATATTATTACAATATTACAAAAGTCATACAATAACCATTAGATTTCATTAAAAATGGGACAATGTAACAAAAAGTATGAGAAGTACAACATGTACATGTTGAGCACTACCGGCAGTTCTAATAGTTTCATTTGCTATAATGGCAAATACACAGAGTTTACCCTTTGGAGTATTGTTCGTCTTAACATTAATTTTGTTTGCTTTTGATGAGAGAAGATTATAGCAGCATGCCTCTATGTAAATGTATACTTTGCCAACTATGATGAATAAATCAATAATCCTTTTTTTGAATGTTGCTTGAGACTTACATAGCAGGTTGGTCATAACCAAAATATTCTTCTACTTCACCATCTTCTGCCAGGATCTCTTCTTCAAACTCAGAATAGAAGCCATTCATTTCATCAGCTGTAAGAAAAACAAAGAGGCATAAATATATCTTATTAACCAAGCGCGAGGGCCGGACTGGGATAATATTGGCCTGAGTTCTTGACAGTACGGACTGAGCGCAGCGAGGTCCGTACAAAAAAGACCGAGGGCCGATATTCTTCCAGTACTGTCCCGAGCAAGCTTGGTTAATAAGAGATTTATTATACGACTGAAGTTCAAAGGGACACGAGTGCGGTATCATTCGGGACCATTCGGGACAGTGCCCGGTCCAATACTGAGAGAATATTGGACCGGCAATGGAGCATTTTGATTGGTTGATTTTAGTTATTGGCCCTCTGACTGCCCGAGTCGTGTGATAAGTACACTTACCACACACTTTTGACAATGGCATAAGTTGACTCGTTATATTTGGACGCAAGTATGGTTCCCACAAAAGTTGGGTCGAGCAAACAAATCGAGGCTAACTGGTAAACGCGCCACATTATCAATACGAAATAGGAAAGCAAAGTTTTTACGTTAAAATGGTAACTTATGAAGGCGAGCGAATGAAGACGAGTTTGTCGTCTCAGTGCATTCCGATAGGATGTTAGAACTAAGTGAACTAGGCGCTCAAGAATTTAACAGTAGGTCGATTAGCACAAGTGTTTTACTGTGATGTGACTACATGCTTGGTTTGCCTCAAAGGGGACTGTGTTAATTCAGTCTGCGTTACCACATTGAAAGCGTGACCGTTAAAATTTAGGATCTCATTTTGACGTACAGCAAACCCCACGTATAAGAGCCTAAAATTTAGGAACATGTTAAGCTAACATTTCTCAGTTTAACACTCTTCACATAAGAACCATTCTGGGCCAAAGTCTCAGTGCAAGTTCTCATTTTCAGAATATAGATCTTCTTCATATATAATATACTATATAACAAGCAATATAGAAAGGTCTAAAAAAGTCACAAAAACCAACCTGAACACTGACAGTGCTCCATCTAAAAACCAAAAAACTGTATTGTTAATACATCCATAGCTGTGCAACATATCCAAACGTGCGAGTTCACCATATGAAGCAGGGAACTGTAACGCTGGCATACAGCACGGTATCACACCCACAGCCATCAATACAAGTTTTTTTTTTTTAAACAAAACAAGACAAAAAAAGGAGCCCGATTAACAAGCTAGATAAATAAATACACAGGTGGCCCAAACATCGTATGCGATCTGAGTTTCCAGAGAGCTGAGACGAAGTATAGGGATACTTCGAAAGTTACTTTGGATACTCCGTCTAGGTACGACACAAGATAAACATGGGTAAACTTGCCTCACGTGAATTTGACGTCTCTGTGTTCCTGGGGTCAGTTTAAAGCCAACAAAGGGACTTAAACTTTCAGGCGGAATCCCAGAAAGTTTAAGACTGCCCAAAAAACTTTAAACCGAACCCGAGAACACACACTGACGCAAGGCAAACATCAGGTAACCATACAGTATCTATTTAAGGTGCTCTTGGAATGAAGGCATTAAATTAAGACCAGCGATCACATTTAGTCGCATTGTTTTAATAAAATACTTTCTAGTTGAGTTTATCTAGTATTAGTGAGGTTTTATCTTCAGACACAAAATTAGCGCGTTGTATACGAATGCATTGTCTATGACGCAATCTACACCAACATGGCTAGCGAAAATTTACAATCAGCCATTCTTCAGATGGAGAGATTTTCCCAACGAGAGACGGTATGAAATGTGCTATATTTAGCCTCAACCAATCAAAAGCAAGATGTTTTCTCTTTTGGGCCAATCAGGAGCCAAAGCAAGACTATAATGATTTTCCCCCAGAGAACCAAGTTCTTCCGAATGTGGCTCTACTGCTGCTGGGTTGTTAACGTAGAGAGAATAAAATAGTGCTAGACCTCACAGAAACAAAACATTCAAGATTAAGTGAAAAATAAAACAAGTTCCAGTCGATGATAATCTGTCTTGAGAATTTAACCCCTTTTCCCGACCGCACACACCATTCCTGTCGGGCTAATATTATAGCCTCTATTGAGGAAATTTGCCCCTTGGAAATCCAAACCAATGAAACAGAGAGACAATGTAAATTTCAGTCGAACTTACTAAGTCCGCAGAGGACCTTTTATGGAACCCTAATATCATTAACTGTTTTTTCTGAATATTATGTGTTCATTTTGTAGCAAGCGTCGAAGAAAGGAAAATCAATCTGACTCCCCATAAGGAATCCAACTACAAACCCTTCGTATTTCACTACCACTGAGATAAAGAAAACTCCATGCCACTACTAGCTTAACATGCAACAAAAGTCCTGCACACCACTAAGATCAGCAGAGTGGAAGACGATGTGCAAAACATAGAATAGGAGAGAAAGAAAGATGTAAAATTGTTTTTTTTTTTCTTCGTACTGGAAGCTCCTATTTTCCCCTTGTTCCACCCTCGTGACAAAACAGGTGGCGCAGATCTTTCTTAAATTGACAACTGAGGGAAAAATTTAAGGAGAAAAATCTAAGAAAGCAATTTCATGGGAAGGCTTTGAACCCTTTAAACCCGAGATCTGGTTGTAAATTCTCTCCTCTAGCTCCTACACATTCACGTGTAAATTAACTACGAGAATTTGGTNATCTTATTAACCAAGCGCGAGGGCCGTACTGGGAGAATATCGGCCCGAGGTCTTGACAGTACGGACCGAGCGCAGCGAGGTCCGTACAAAAAAGACCGAGGGCCGATATTCTTCCAGTACGGTCCCGAGCAAGCTTGGTTAATAAGAGATTTATTATACGACTGAAGTTCAAAGGGACACAAGTGCGGTATCATTCGGGACCATTCGGGACAGTGCCCGGTCCAATACTGAGAGAATATTGACCGGCAATAGAGCATTTTGATTGGTTGATTTTAGTTATTGGCCCTCTGACTGCCCGAGTCGTGTAATAAAGTATCATATCACCTTCAGCTAGGGTATTCTGAGCATGCACAATGTACACATCACAAGGATGTCAACGTACAAGTACAGTATGAGGTGAACTTTCTAACAATGCAAGAGACTTACAGAACAGAAATTGCTAAAGTGATGATATTTTTGTCAATATTTGAAAAAGCATACAGACTGCATAGTTGTTGTGCCTTTATTTTAACATCTATGATAATGTGCTTCAAAATTTTCAGAGTTAGATAATTTCTCAGTCCTGTTCAATTTTTATCTTTCTTTGTTTTAAATTAAGATTATAATGAATACATTCAAGAAAAAGGAAAAAGAAAACCATTTTGGTTTGAAATACTTTGTTACTGTCAAAAGAAATCAAGCCACACTGAAAACTTCACTGTACATGTACTCCATTTAATAATAGGGCTTCTGATATCATGACCTGGTGCCATTTTACAACTACAAAATAATCTCTACACATAACATAAATTACAAAATCTAAAAAGTGATCTAAAAGTGCTCCAGTCTGCTCAAAGTAGCAAGCAGGCAATGCTGCATATAGTTTAAGACCACTAATACTGTCCCTTGGAAACACTACATACATGCATATAAAGAGCATCTTTACAATTGAGTTAAACCTCCAAAACATAGAAGTGCTACACTAAATACAAATTTTGTATATAACAGAAAACTGCAAAATATACCCTATCAATCATGAAAATCTGCTTTTGTTATATCATTCTATAGATGTGTGAAGTACAAAAAATCTGCCCGGCTGTACTTCCACATGCAAGTACATGACTGTACACAGTCATACACTGTACTGGTCATTTCTAATATGTTTGCAATTCATTAGCCCAAGACAAGGCTTGGCACTAACTTTTCAACTTACTAGCCAAGTAACTGGTGACCACTTAGATTTATGACAATGTCAGTTTGTTTACTAGCCAACCTGGTTAGTGGAAATTGAAAACCACCAGCCAAAACTGAATTTCTACTAGTCTGTGGCTAGTTGACTACCATTAGTGTCAAGCCCTGCTAAGAGTATCAGTACCTGATGGAGCACTACAAATTCTAGAAATACAACAGTGCTCACCATTCATGTAAGACTCTGGAGGCTCTGGCAATGGGTCTAAATGAAATCCTTCAATGCATAAACTGAGAAGAAAAGAATATTGATCAACAATTACATCTTAAGAACACTCAGATAAGACTGAACCTACACATGAAATGACAAAAATATATGTTTTTTGCCCTACACAGGCTGACCTCCTTAGAAGGAACAGACCTGTTCATTTTATGTCATAACTCAACATCTGTGTACTAGTTTGTACAGCAAACTATGTACAGTGTATGTGCATGCATGTCAAATCAAAGTTACCCTTGTGAATCAAAAGCTCCAAATTCCTCAACATCTTCAAGAAAAGATGTCTGTGGTCGCTGGTTGTATATCCTTGGCTCCCCAGCAGGAAATGGAATCAGTTGAGTACCATCATCCTTGGGATTAAGCAATTGATAACCACAGATTCTGTAGGGAAGTGACAAAGACCCCAAAAATTATAATAATAACAAAAACTTTTATTTATATAGCGCTCATATCTTAAATTCATGGCGCTTTACAACCCTGTATGGGGGACTTTACCAGACTGCTAAGCAGTTTACAATCAATAAAGGTGAATATAACAGATGCCCCCTGCCCCCTCCCCCCAATTCTCAGTAAACAGGCCAGACCACATCACAGTAATCTCGTGAAGGGGGTTCTTTAACGTCCCCTGCCTAACCAAATTAACTAATTAATAGATACAGGAGACGGGACCTCCATTTATTCGTCCCTATCTGAGAAGACTAGAATATCTAACCATTTCTTGAAAAAAATTGTGTCACACCATGTAAATGTCAGAAGTAAACAAAACTGCTCATTCAGTACAGTGAGTGACTGGACAACCAACATAGTTTACACAACTAGCTCAAGGCCTCCCAACAGAGAAAAAATGGTTGTTCTTCTCATTCAAGAGTGATTTCATTTACAGGAAAATATGCATTTTTCAATTTTGTTTTATCTCAGGTGTAAAATAAGGCTGTCATTCTTTGTATAATTATTATTTTTTAACTGTTATCCTTTAACAGGTAAACTTGTGGTCAAGTTCCATTGTAGGAGCTTGAAAGCATTGTCAAAGACATACAACTACTTTCTACAGGTCTCTAATGTGTGAACCCAGCTAATGTAGTGGGCAGAACAACAACTAACACCTGGTATGAAAATCTTGTGTTGCAGTCTCTAGACTAGCTGGATTCCCATGCTGATAAATGTAAGTGTTGCATAAATCTTAGCCCACACTTTCCAACTCAACTGGAACATATAGAGTAGAGTAATATACATGTAGTGATGGTAGAAAAAAAGATACCACTGTTACGTAGAAATGCTGGTAATACTTATTTTTAAGATCAAATCACAACAATTTAACATGGTGTATTTTTGCCAAAACTACAAGTGGAATTGAGTAAGAGTATGGGCAACATTCTTTCATCAAAGGAGAACTTATTGAAAATTTTTCAAATTTTATAAAAGACTGATAATACCTTGAGAAAAACTCTACACCTCAAATTAAATTGATAGTTAGTGGAAAAGCTGATAGTTTGGATATATCAACAAAGTTGAAATGGTAAATTGGCCACTGTAACGATTACAAAAGCTGACGTTTCGAGCGTTAGCCCTTCCTTGGAGCGATAAGGTTACTGATCTACATGAAGGGGTCTCCTGAAACCAATAATTCAATATGCATGGCAGACAGTGTTCATTGTATGTAATTAAATTATACTAATTGATAATCATCAAAGAATATTATATATCCGTATGCTGTATGAGAAAGTCAGTTCTTAGTGATAGGGTTTACTAACAAAGATGAAGTGCATTTTGCTGTATTTCCTTAGGCTGAATTTCTTGATATGGATATTAATTTTCATATCCCTTGATGTAAACCATTAAATCAGCATTAACCAGTTGACATTTAAAACAAGTCATAGCTTGCCAAGTAAATCACATGTATTCTTTTCCCTCCCTTTACTGGGAAAATGAAACATGGAAGCTTAGTTATTCATCAGTTATGATCAGAAATACTTACCGCAGGTGTGGAAATTGCTTGAACCATTCTTCACATTCAGACAACAGTTGAGGACTTCCTATTACGTATAAAGATTCAAGTCATTAAAGATTGCTATAACTGAGCTGGTAATTTTGTGTGGTCAGATTCAATGGTTCTTGCATGCTCCACAAGTTCCCTTTGTGCACTCTGATGACACAGCACTGATGCACACTGAAGCATCCCAAAAATTTCTCTTCATACAACATTTAAACTACATGCCCTTGACAAGAGTCAAACAAATGTGTTTGTTATCTTAACTTAAAATTCTAATTGGCCATTTAATCCTCTTGGCAACTTTATAGCAACTGAACTGGGTTTATTACGAATCAACTTAACGGCCTGCTCCCAGTTGGCTTGTTAGCTCAATTGGTAGAGTGCTGCACTAGTATTGCAGAGGTCAGTGGTTCGAGTCCCATACAGGCCTGATTTTTTTTTTCAGGTCTGATTTTTGCTATTGCACAAATAGCGCTATCTACTGTGAGGATCATGCATCATACGTGTGAAAATCATCTATACATAATTATAGCAAAGAAAAAGCCAAGGTTACAAATTTATACTGGAAATACACTATTTTAACACAAGTCACTTGATATTTATCAGTGATATAATCAAAAACAGTTATTGTATTGGCAATTAAAGCTGAATACATGTATCAATTAAAATTGTCACATACCATTGAAATGTATTCCTTCAAACAGCATTCCATCAATTTCATCAAACATCCGTTTCACTGTTGCTGAAGCCTGTCTGTCAAACTCCTAAGTGAAAAAATAATACATACATGTACATCTTCGGTTCTAAAGAGTCTTGGAACAAATAATTCCTTTTCTTTCATATGGTACAAAATAAACACATAAGCTACAGACTATGTGATAAACTCACATCTTCATTTCCCCATGAGTATACACTGCTTCGTCCAGTAAGGATCCCAGTGTTTGTTGACCATGTGTTTGACTCAAAAAGTCCATTACCAATACTTGGAGCATTGTCAGTCGTGGGAGAAGATTGACCGCTGGTGTCAGGGGTGACGTTAGTGAAGTTACTGCTGTGAATTCTCTCAAAATAGGACAAGGGGAGGGATTCCTCTGGTCTCTCAGGGAGAGGGTGGAGGGCATCCACACTACTGTGAGCAAATCCACGGCTAGCAATTTAAAGATCAACACAAAGAATATGTTTAACACAGTCCCAGAAGGAAATTAGAGGGTTTGTTAGGTAATTTATGTACATCCATTTTGAAACAACCAGTGATCCTTGTAATCTGAGAGGCTCTCATTAGTGTAATTTATTTTAAATTATTACATCCACTTTGAAATCACTGTTGAACTTTGCAATCTGATTGGCTCTCATTGGTGCAATTTATGCATGATTTACACCATTTTTTACTCTACACTACATCTTTTCCCAGCCAATGAGAAACCTTTACTATAACACAACAGCCAATCAAATTTCAGGCTTGTTTTAAAATTAAAGAAGCCAATAATTTTAGAGGAAAATGAAAGAAAACTTTTGTAACTATTTACTGATAAGCTCAGTACTGAATCAAGAAACAATTTCTACTTGTACACTCTAAAAAAATCCTGTATTTGAATAACTGAATGTTAGAATTTCAAAATGAATGAAATAATATGTAAGGGGTAACTGTGTCATGCAATTTTGGTCTGAAATCTGTACTTGTGATTTCAAATTGAACTCACTCTGTGCACTTTTATGATTTCAGCCTTAATTGCTCTCCACTCAGTTCAATTACCATTATTAATAATATACATGAAAAAATTTCTCAGTTCTGATTGGTTACAATGAATACAGTTTTCAGTCAATTCAGTGCAGAAGAGAGTTAATTCAGTGTAGAAGAGGGTTAATTCAGGGCAAAGAAAGAAACAAACCAGATATTCTGATTGGTTAGAATGATTGGTCAATGTCAATGTCAAGGTCAATGTCACCTGAAGGGTTTGAATAAATTATTTTTGCACGTGATGCGCACGCTTTTCTTCTTTACAGTTATGAGAAGCTACCTCGTATTTTTTCATGTATATCACATAATTACATGATTTTCTCTTGCAATTTGGAATAAATAGGCCCACTTGTAAATTTTTTCAAAGACCACAAATTGCACTCGCCCTACAGGTTCACGCAATTTTGTTAGTCTTTGAAAAAATTTACTTGACTGTGCTTACTTATTCCAAATTGCACTCACAATCATGTGATTACCTAGTATACAAATTGCACTCCTCTCAGTTCAATTACTATGGGTCATCAAAGGAAGTATAATATCAAATCAGTTGTTACAAGCACAACAATATTGTGTATGATCAGATGGACTGTGATAATGAATATCAGATTAGGACCAGTGTCCTTACATTTCTCCTTTACTAGGAGTTATGAGGAACGACAGAGCTGAATAATGTATATGCATGCGCTAGGTTTTGCCGCGGAAACACGGATATTGAGTCGTTTGCATGGTTGATCTCCTATTCTGTTGCTTCGAGGCGTCATTTTCCTTGCCGGCGCTTTTCTTTTACAGAACAACCTCCAAAAACTTGGTACACCCCCTAAAAAATTTCAAAAATTAATTTTCTCCTTTAAACCTTTGGAAATAAGAAAGTGCCTTCAACAAAAACAGAGTTCCTCATTTTAAAGGTCAGCCCTTATTATTTTCCGCTAATTTTGCTAAATTTTAGACCTAGGACACTTGAGCCCGTGTTGTTGACCGCATACCCACTGACGTAGCATTTAATTATTCAGCTCTGTCATGGGAAACTATGCAGTGACGTACGTAAGGGAAGAAGAAAATCAAACCTATATGAAAGCACATAAACCTGTTTCTCAAAACCACCATGCCTTAAATTATATGGGCTTACAGTCTGCCCTTATAAAAATTATCAAAGGTTCTTTTGTTCTTGAAGTCTCAGATTTGAGTAATTTTTTTTTCTAAATTATTCTTTCTCATTCACCACCATCACACAATAAATTTAACTGTAAATTGTTGGTGCTGGGAAGAAAATAGAAGATGAGTTACATGTACACGAACGGCAAAGGACAAAATTAGATATCATTTCACTGAATAATTACTATTATTTGATTTTTTCCAATACTTATTGTATCCTACACATTACATGAGTTATAAGAACTACATAAACTAACAATGTAGAATTAAAGAAAATGATAATAATTATCAGCATACGAGACTGTGCTTAATTCTGATGATTCTGATTTTTGAAGGGGTGGATATATAACAATATATTCCAAGAAAAACCCGACATTATTTTGATAATGGATATCTGCACCTTTTTTCCAGCAATCAATCTTGATCTCAGAAAATATCGTTTAAGTAGGAGACTCAAGTCTATAACAGTCTATGGTAATACAAAGCAAAGCAGTTTGATGCTCGCAGATGTAAATCGTACCGCTGCAGTAAACCAATAAACATGTATAAACCCCGTTTAAGCAGGACAGTGCAACCCTTTACTTTAATCCATAGAAGTAAGTTTGCAACGGTTGTTTTACGAAGATTATATTTCTGATTCATCACTGTTTTCAAGACGCTCAGTATCAAATAACTAAGCACTGAAGATTGCCGTGCTTCTGAAATGTACATGCACAAAGACCTGTTTGCATGCTGGTCTTTAAAAAATGCTTTGCGTACCAGCACACGCAAACTGTGTACTGGCCGGAGAACTAAGCGTCAAAAAAACTATTTCACCTGTAAATGCATCTATTTGTTCATTGATAGGCAATTTAAAGATCGTTAAACAATTGGTCTCCAAAATCACGGTAAATTTTCAGCCGGCTCCGGCCATTATGTGTTCGACGATTTAAGCACTTCGCATTAAGCGCTGCAGATTTAGTTATGGTTTGATTTCACAAGTACCGAGATCATAAGAATCAAACTTACATCTCAAGAGGATAGGTCCTATTCGTCATTTCTGCATTGTGCGAGAAATGCAAAATTCCACTCCGTTCGGAGCTGCAGACAGCACGTCCATGACAACAAAGTTTGCAACGAGATTGTGTCCCTCATCTCGCCCAGATCCGCTCTTTCATCGTTGTTTTCACCTCAATCTATTTCCATGTAAGCGCTAATAACTTCCTTCGTGAAGTCAATCTCTCGGATTACGCTTAACACTGAAAATCTTGACTCAATTTCCGATAGTGACTCTTCACAAAAGTTCCCAAAACAACAAAATTAAGCTGAGTTACAAATTTCCCAGTAGACTGTGCGCGCGAGTTAAGTGGTCGAGTGGTTACTAAGCGTAACTCCATCCAGGTCTTCCCCGGCCGATTTCCTTATTCGAGCATGTGATCAAATACGGAAATAGCCGATACTAATTAGCGGAAAAATATGCGGAAAAAGTTATTTGAAGCTTTAACATTTTAAAAATGCTTAGGTGTAACTGCAAGAGTCAAATAGAAATCGTCTCGTATTGCTGCATAACAGTTGTCACGCAATACTCATCGAAAAACAAATCATGGATCGATGGTAAAAAAACAAAAAGAAACGAGATCAAAGAGGTTCCCGAAACACAACTAACTTGAAAATTCAACTGCTTAATTCAGTAAAAAGGTTGTTTATTTTAATCTAAAAGTTTAAAAATGAGAACGGTTGTTTTAAAATCATGACGATATGTTAAAAGTTTGAAAATTGACTATACAGACGAAGCTCATCAACTTCCAAAGCCTCCAGACAAACCAAAACATATATTTAAAGGAATGAAAGAGAAGTCGACCAACCCATTTTTTTTTCTTAAATCACTAGTTGAGGTGAGATCATCTATCTAGTGGCGAAGACGTCACCGTAACACTGAGAAATTCAGTGAAATTTCTACTGAAGAGGAAGCGAGAGAGGTAATGATATTTCTTAGTAGTTGAATAGGGGCAGATGTTCAAAAATACATCATGGCAGTTAAAAAATCAGATTTAAAGCGTGTAAAAGCATTTCACCAAAAATCATCTTGTTCGATTTAGTTTGGAGCGATTCATAGCTTCAAGCGAATTCAAAATAAATATGTTAGATATCGTTAGACGCTCTGCTAAAAACAGAAAAACAAGTTGGTGTAGTCATGGTTAAATTGTACTGTTAACTTATTACTTGAGTCGGGTAGCAACGAAAGCAACAAACTTGTTTGAAAACCGTTAATTATTTATTACAGAAATAAAGACAGCTCTCTTTTCAAACTGACGCATTGAAACATGGATTGATTAGAGTAGGTCAAGCTCAGGAAATAGAATAATGGGAAACTAGCTTTTTTATAAATGAACTTGCACGCGATGATTGTGGAACCACATGTTAAATTTGTAAACCTTATATAATCCATGTTTAAAATTCAAATTTCCAACCGTGTTTTTTTAAATAATATTGTGTAAGCTGAGCACTTTACAAGATATCTCCGGTAATTGCTCCATATAATTGGTAGAAAAGCAAAAGCCATGCCATTTAGATACTCTTAAATTTCAAAAAAAAGAAAATGAAGTTGTTTTCTTCTTTTTGGCTCGGTTTTTGATTATCTCAACGCGACAGTTCCAAATGATAAAAATGAATACCTTGGCAATGTCGTCAAAGATGTGACCATATTTGCACTTTAATTCTAAAAAGGTTATTTTGGATCCAGGAATCATAAACTGACGTCTTCATTCATTTTTTCTTAATTCTATGTTTTCTATGTTAAGGTGATCTTTCTCTTCGACAATTGGGGCAGGAAACAAGGAAAATGTCCTAACCCTGAGATCTAAAGAAAAAACTTGTGGTTATTTTTGCACACCGCTGAAAATACTGAAATGCAAAAACTATTAACGGGAGGTTGAATACTAATATATACATCAACTGAATAGAATTTAATTGTAAAAACTCGAGATCGTAAAGCGAAGGTAAGTCTTATAATATTCTGTCACATTAAGTCTATTTTAAAGGCCGACTCTGTCCATAATTTCATTCCCTATCATCGCATCTGTTTGACTTTATGTCGCTCTGCTGTTGAAAAGCCTTATGTCAAATTATTTTACTCAATCAACACATCATATTCTTGAAAAGGGGCTAACAACATGCGAACTTTAACACAGTAAATTGAAAATCGAGATGGCTTCTTTTTTTTCCTCCATCATGTGATTCTAGGCGGCGCCAAGCTGACCGTTAGGCGAAGAACTGATCAGTGCAGCTTGCGGCTCACTCTCGCTCAATGTTCAGAAATAGCCAATAGAAAATAAACAGCAGAAGACTGAACAGGTAAAAAAAGCAAATACAGGCAAACGTAACTTATTCAATGCGATCACCAGAGCAAGGAGAATTAAATAGGGCCACTTTTCATGTAAGGCCTTTTATGTTAGGTCGTAAATGCACTTAGGAAAACGTGCCGGGAGCCTCTCTATTGCAGAACTTTGCTAAGCAACATAAATCACGCGAAATCACTCTGCATGTAAGAAAAGGATATCCCACTTCTCACTCAAACGTGTGAGGCAAAGGAGATAATAAATGCACGCACTGTGTATTGATTATATAGTTCAACCCTGTCTGTTTCGATACTAGTATTTCCTGATTGTATAAATTATCATTTGGCGAAACGGGCATAAAAAGATATTTCGTTAATGGTACAAATGTGCCAGCTTTGAAAGAAAAATTACGAGACGGAGTGAAAAAATATCCAGATCTAAGCCTGGTTTTGAACCCCACGCTTTCGAAGCGGAACACTCTAGAAGTTTCTCCAACGCTTCCTAATTCAATATCCTATTTCCGTTCGGCATAAATACGAAAATTTTCAAGTACGATTTCAGTTTGACGACCGTAAGTGTCACCTTTTGTAACTGAACTGCAATTTCCTCCCGCAGTATTTTAGCGATCTTTCCTGACCTAACCGACGCACATTTTGGCTTTGAAATTACTTTAAATGAAGCTTAAGAGCACTCACCCCCTTAAGATGAACGAAATTTCTTTAGGTTCTTCGCGTCTCTTCGAGCGAATCACCGCCGGGAAGTACATGAAATCTCCCAAGAGCGTCATGAGCTTTGAAATCCATTCGATATGATTCAAGTCCTAGCGGAATTTTTTACGACTAGCGTTGTTTTAACTGTCTCTACTCCCGCGTGGTTGTGTTTCCTAGCGCCACTCATCACACACACCGTGCGCCGCTTATTTCCGTTATTCTTTATAAAATGCACATTTTCAATTGTCCTTCCCGCCAAGGGGCCCAAAACATATGGTCGCATCCGGGAGACCGCGCGAAAGGTGAACTAGCCCGGATGTGACGTGTGGGTACGATATCAAAAAGAACGAAATACAAAGGTGTAATATCTATTTCGTTTGAAAAACCTCTTATTCATGCTCAGTTGACAAGCCTTAACGGTGTTGCTTGGAACAATAACACACGCGATGGCAACACGCAATCACTCCGGTTGACGTAGTTTTATGAATTCAATCGAGTGAAATACAAGAGTGCGGTTTTTTTGTGTGTACATGTGCTTTGTTTTCGTGTTTCTTGTTGAGAGGGAGACAGGCTGTCTAATATAAGAGAACAAGGAAAAAGTTCACAGACAACTTTTTTCCAATAATAGAACTAACAGCAACCACGTATGCTGCAGCTATCCATTAACTGAGAGGAGCTGACAGGATCTGACAATTAATATTCGACTCAACTGATATTTGAATATTCCTGTTGTTATTAATATTCGTCCGGCATTGTGATTCATATTTTCGCTTTTAACTATCTTCTAAAAAAATTCCTTTCTTCTGGTAACACTCAAGCAATTCTCGATCAGAAACTCAGCGGTTTTGCCACATATATATAAACATTTTATTTTTACTAACAACAAAACAACTCACTCATCCTTAACCCGTAAAACACCGACTCACTACAGTTTGTTCTTTTCAAACAAGGGATATTTTATTGTCATCATTAAGATCGATGATTACCCCATTCACCTCATTGCTTTGACAACCGTGGACTTGTTTGCATTTATTTTTCAACCATTTTGCTCGAGTAATTTCCAAGATCTCTCCAAAACAAAGTCTATAGATCGATGCTAACTCTATTGAATAAACATCTGAGCACGAGCTTGAGTAAATTCAAACTAGACATGACGACCAAGATGTCATATTTGGAGTTCATTTATGCATTATCGCCAAAGTAGAGAGTCCACCTTTTTAAAAGGCTGGTTTTGTTATTCTTCTCAATTAAACCGTCTTCTTCAGAACCTCCTGCTCTGCTGGCATGGGATCAAACCTGCCTAAAACAAGCCACTGACCAATAATTAAAATTAAAATGTATTCCACGGAACCACTTCTATTGACGTCTGTGTATTTTTAGAAACCAGCTTCTATAAATGATGTGCCATGTTTAGCTGTCAACTTGATAAACTAATAAATGACCCTCCCGCGTAAATCCTGCCACCACTTTATTCTGACAGTTTTAACAAAAGCAAAGTATGTTAAGAACAACCAGAATTCGGCGTTTCTGTTCCGCGCTGTTCTGAAAAAATTGAAGACTCGGACCCCATAAAGATTCTTCCATGCAAACTCACTCCGCACCTGCAATGCTAATCATGCGATCAAACTGTGTCTTAAATGTTCCATGATTTTTACTGTTACAAATGCACTTGTATTGCAAGAGGTCTCCTCGTTGTTATTCACTATACTTAGTAATAACTTTAACTGCATGATTTACATCTCACAGTTCACTGATCAGTTTGTTAAGAAGGTCAGTATTAACAGCCTGTGCGTGGTTAGAGCCAAAAACATGGCTGACGTTAATGATGTCATTTGAAAAAACACTCATTGTCAGCGCGTCGGCAGCATGTATTTGTCGCAAGGAAACAATGGAACAAGAGCCGTACAACGAGTGTAGTCGTTATGGAACATTTTAGACAAAAGCAAATAGAGTAGGCGTAGGGTCTCTAATTCTCTCTACGCCAAACAAGGAAAATAAATTCACAATGTGTTTTACATAAACTAAGCCCTGGAAAAAACGAAGATATAGGAAAACAAAATTGTCTTAAAATCTTCGGGCGTCGAAACGTCGTCAAATTATAGTTTCTACTTAAGCTCTTTACAACACGTTGCTATCAATAAGCTAATCACCAAGTGGTCTAGAGCTTAATTCTTCTTCCATTGGAGCAGTGAAAACAAAGGACGAACTTTCATCCATTACGTCCACTTAAAGAGGACTATTAGTTCAAGGGCAAGAGATTCTAGTCTCTTCCGTAAATAGGTTGACTGTTTGAGTAGGGCTAAAATGGCCACTAAAATCTCAAAAATAACTAATCTTTTATCGAAGTAAGTTTCGCCCACACTAATCTGAACAAATAACCATATTCTTTACTCCGTTTTTGTTGGGCTTTCATCCAAACTCGATCGATGTTTTCGCTCAGTCTTCAAAAGCGTCGATTTTTAAGAAGGAAGCTGTAGAAATTGGAACTGGAGCTTTCCAGTACCAGGGCTTAGGTTGTTTTGTTTTGTTTTGTTTTTTTTTTTTCGCTTTTGTATTATTGCTTTTCGCAAATTTACCGGATGCAGAGGCTCAGAAGCGTTTGTGTTCAAACCACAAATAATGATAACACAACATTGCATATAAAGAACGTTTTAGCGGTTTTTTTTCAATTTTTTCTAACTGCACTGATTGGTGTGGACTTAGCCTCTTGAATACTAAAAAAAAACAAAAAATACACCGAATGCAAATATGGCGTCCAATTTGAATTGCCATTGTTCTGGACTGACTAGCCTCGTCTTCACGTGGAAATACAAAAGGATTCTTAAATGTGTGAGAGGCTAGTCAGTCCAGAATAATGGAAACTCAAATTGGACGCCATATTTGCATTCGGTGTATAGCGTGATGTTAGCCAGATTAGTCTGGTCTGTGGACTGTGCATGCGTTCCAAAATTAAATCGAGGAGCCTTTCCTTCTGTCTGACTGATCACACGGGTCAAAAAAATTGATTGTTCATTATCACCATCCACTCCTTACCAACCCCAGTAACATTTTCATAACCTCGTAGCTGCCTGTATTAAGAGACATATCCTTGTAAACCCGCGAGCAGGCCCTTGTTTTAAGTGCTGTAGGAAGCTTATTTCTCCAGCCTCGAAAAGATTTGAGAGGAGTCGGACCGTGCAGAGGTTTGCTTTATGTAGTTATGAATCCGAGCATGCTGCTGGCTCTGGCACATGGAGACCAAGTTCAGAAATTCCGTTCGTGCTATTAGTGGAGCTACGCTATTGGTGGGAGCACGGTGACGAGAAAAACACGAATAAATTACTAGAATGAAAAGTGTTCGTTGATACCTATGGGGTTAAGAGTGCCGATTTGAAAGATAAACTTTTGTTCAAGAGTTTTGCGGCTTTCCGAGCTACCTAAATGTAAGGAAAGACCGCAGATTGCCATATGTTGCTTAGAATGATTAGGTAGATTAAAGTGTCTAGCGATTGGTTTTGATGCATCCTTGTCATTCCTCCCTACGTCACGAAGGTGTTCTCGAAATCGGTCATCTAATCGTCTTCCTGTTTCGGCGATGTATATCTTTTTGCAATAAATGCAAGTTATGCAACAGATGACGTTGGCGGAGGTGCACGTGAAGTGATCAACACCAGCTAGTCAGCTTTACAAAATGTAGCAGGTCGGAACATACCTTGAAAAAGTAGTTTGCCAGAGTGACTGAGCATTCATATCAGCCACGTCTTTTAAGAGACACCTTAGGGGGAAGAGGAACCGAAGAGGTCTAAAAATAACAAAGAGAATGTCGATTGAGGCTACACCGGAACTAACTGAATTGAGGCCGACACTAAAGTGGCGCAAAGGACCTTGAAATATCTGCAGTGAGTGGCCAATGTTCTCGTGGAAATGAAAGTAGGTCGAAAATTGCGAGCAGGTATGCAAAATTCTGGATAACCATGTAATAGTGAATCATAATAAGAGAAACAACATGGAGCAGAAAGCGAGTCAAAGCGGGTCACATTTATGACATTTTTTTCCAGTATTATCGGAAGAAGTAGACTAATTCTTTTGACGTTATGACCAGAGCAGAACTAACTGACCAACGAAACGTTTACAACACTTGACTAAAACATAACTTTGGCGAGATTAAAAACTAAACAATTCGGGTCAATCGATTCCCTTGCATGAACCGACTGGGAAGTTCTCGAAGAGTAAGTGTCTTGTGCAAGGCTGGGTACGCAACATAGCCTCCTGATAGGGGTTAGAACCCAGACCCCTCGACCGGAAGCCTAGTCTAACGCCCATTCTTGTTGCTGTCCGCCTTTATTGTTTTGGTTAAATCTGGGGTGTGTGAGTCTTATCAGCCGCAGAAACTATGACCATAAAGTTCTTTACTTTTAAAAAACCCTTTCCTACTTCGCTAAAATTTACAGACTGAGCTTCTTCGATTTGTAAAGGTTTAAAAGTTAAAACTGACACTTATTATTATTATTGTTATTATTATTATTATTATTATTATTAGCCACAGTTATACATATGCATTTTCTGTATGACATCAGTGCACAGGTAAACTTCCCGTAACAGTGGACATTTCGTGCTTTCTGTACTCATAACTATTTCCAGGTCTCGTGGAATTTGAACATGCGGAAAACCCTAGATACAAGGACGGGAATCAACAACAACAAAGCCCACACGTGAAGCCAATTGAGGCATTCGAACCAAGGACTCGGTAGGGGGAAACACGTTCACATCAGTCATACTCACCATTGGATAACTTTTGCTCCTCTAAATAAATATTTGAGCGTTGTATACCGAAAAACACTCACAGTACATTTTAGCTTTAATTCTGCGCAGAGCAAAACGAATCTGGAACGCTTTCCAAACTCTCGATCGCGATCTCACCTTAAACATTTCTACTTTTGACGTTAGATCCCTATCATACCAGTGCGATTCTTTGAATATAAACACATCTACGGCAAAGAAGCCAAGGACACAAAATGGAAATAATGATATTTAAACATCAAAACGGCACCAAAGTTCTACTTTAATATATACGCTGAACATTGTGTCTCCTTTCTTGGTGATCTGTTTTCAAAACAGAGTACTAGTTCTAGTTCAAGAGAATTTCTTTTGGGACTGAGGATACATATAGGTACCCACGGATAGGAAAGGAGCGCACTTAAAAACTTTGAAACAACATAGACAAACTGAGTACTCTACACGAGATGGAAAAAAAATGAAGAACTAACAACGTGTTAGCGAAGCTGTTGCAGTGTTCTACGCTGAACAAACAATCCCTCTAAATGTTTTTTCGAACAACGGAAAGAAATGTCGTTATACGGTCAGGGGCACTAGTTCAATTTGAGACACTTAAGAAACTATGACGTTTAACGCTTTTTCTTGTTCTGTAACTTAAACCATCAGACAAACCGCACGTAAACTAGGAATTTATCAGTTCACATCACATTTTTGTTAGTGCTTGAGCGGCCTGTCTCGTGAACTCTACCAACACCTTGTTTTGTTTGTCAAAGTATGTTTCAGAGGCCATTACTGGGGTGAACAGGTATTGATTCCGGTATAAAGAGACAAAAAGCGCCTATTGAACATAAAATCGTTTGATTCTATCAAGAACGCTGCACTAATGTTTCCTGTGCTCTTGCTTTTATTTCTTTGGGCCAAACAAAAAATCAATTTTCATATACTTGTTTCCTCCCCCTCAAGAGCAAATAACGACCAGTTCTTACAGCCTTCACTTCGAATATAATATTTTCTTTGAAACTACAATATAATAATGAAAACACGGAAACAGCAAAAAGAGCACGTTTGTCTTCCGTAATACGCTAAATGAACCGCTCTAACTCTCATTTACCGTGTTATGCACAGGACGGTGAGATCCTTGTCTCCCTTTCCGCAACGCGATCAACAATCAAATATAAATGATAGGCTTTATTTTGAAAAAGAGTTTTTTGGGATGAAGTAATCTGTTTTTAATTTTATGTTTCATTCGTTCCAATAAGCAGGGATAGGGATATTTCACAGGGATATTTGGTTTTTTTCTTATAGTAACCGATTTACAAACAAACAAGATTTACGTGCAGGTTGCCTATTTATCAGAGCCATTTATTCCATTATTCATACGTGCTACATTCGCTTCGAATATCGTTAAGGGTGCCAGTTGTGTTAATACTTTTACGCTTTTTTTTCTCGGAAATACATAAGTTTTTAATACTTCTCCATCTGAGATAGTCCTATTGACGATAGTTTGTTTCATTCTTTTCCATTTCACCTTGAGCAAAGTGGAAAAAAAATTGATTTACATTAGGGACAAAGTGACACTGAAGTCAAAAGCAGAGATCTCTCCAAAGCGCACCTGAGCTTTCAAAGCGATGTGTTGTCAGACGTGCTTAATTTCACAATGATGTATTACCTCCGATTAGTTCACGTATTTTCCTGTCGTTGTTTTTCATAAGCAATTGCAAGTAAAAAAAATATACGCCGATCGTATCATTGTTTGTAACGTTTTGAAAGCGAGCTTTCGCTGCAAAAGTATACCGTGTGTACATGAGATAAGAAGAACTTTGGTATATATTTAAAAAATAGACTGTTACGTGCTATTTATTTTGTCTGTTCTAAGTAAGATCTGATTACATCATCGGGGAAGGAAACGTGTAGGTCATACTTTCCTCTACCTTTTATCTATCACTCCCTAGGCTAATGTCTTACCGTGAGGAATATCTTGCTGGAATCTTTGCAAATTACACAGGTTCATCCTATATCAGCTGAGTCAAGATTACCTTCTCTACATTTGCATAAACTCGGCATGTTTCGATCAAAATGGCCACCGCTTTGCGTGCCTTTCACGGCTCAAAATGTGGGTGGAAATCGACGCTTTCATTTATTTTGACGTAAAATAAAAGTATGATGATAAATCTGTTTTCAAAATTGTTAAAACTGCGCAATAAGATAAAAATGCTCTAACGCTTTGAGAGCCGATCAGACGACACGCGTCTATCAAACTGCCGTAACCAACGCATTCACGAATTCATTCCAAGCCGCTAATAGTTTCCTGCTTCTTCTGTGAATCAAGAACTCCTCACACTATATCGTTTAATTTCTGGGGCCTAACTTCATCAGTCAAGGTTATTGCTGTTTGTGACCGAGTACCTATAACTAAATATTATATTCGAAGCTAATACTCAGACACCTGATTAAATATGAGTTAGAAGACAGTAACACCAAACTGGCTGCGGACCAGCCCCAGAGAATATCCTAAACGGTTGATATCGACTACAAACATAAAATAACTCATAAATACAATTACTATTAAAATGATCCACATAATATAGAATGCTTGGTTGTGATTTTAAAGTCAGTTCTTTTGGAACTTAATCTTTTGGGCTTTTAAGGTGATTTCTGATATTGAACGGTTTTGCAACACAACTAGGTATCCAAAACGGTCATATCTCCCATTTCTCGTTTTTTTTTCCGTAAAAGCCGATCATGTGCGCGTTGATATATATATATATATTTTTTTTTTAACAAACAAGATTCAACTTACACAACAAAACTGAAAAAAGAGCAGTCTGTTCCTTCGAAATTATTATAAGAAATTTTTCACGAAACCATGTTTGCTATAGGCCTAATCTTTTTTTCTTTTTTCACGAATTGAATCATCTGTTGGTATAAAGGTAGAGGCGTAGTGGTGTCCGCCTTTTTAAACGAAAGTCGCAACAGACGGTTGCTGAGATGAACTTCCAGATCGTGTGCGAGCACGTTTCCGAGAACGTCGGAGTCGAGAACGCTCTGTTGCATGTGCTCCGGTGCGACTGGAATCGGAACAGAGAGATGACACCACTGAGTGAAAAAATGCCGAGACCCGTCGGCAAAGTAGAGAGAGTTTATTGTACACCTTGCTTGCGCATTTGGTAAACACCTCACGGAAATCTGTACAAAGCCCAGCGTAGAGAAAAGGATTGATTGCTGAGTTTGCGTAATAGCATAGAATGAAAATCAGGTGTACCGCTCTTGGAACCAAGCTGGAGCCATGTGATAACAAAAGGATCGTCTCCGTAACATATGGAAGCCAGCATATCAAGCACACGATCGCTATTTTCCCCAATGTTTTAGCGCATTTGAAAAGAGGACTGCGAATTCTTTCATACTCTCTGAGGACTTGCTGTCTTGCTATTTTGATAGCATGAATTCTGGCGATGCGGAAGATCATGACGTAAAGGATAACAACAATCAACGCCGGTATCACCCAGTTGACTGTGAGGATGAACATTACGTATTCTGGTTCAATGGAAAACACGCAGAGGTTGTATTTAATCAAGGATGGTCTCAGCCGCCAGCCCATCAGCGGTAGAAGCGCCGTCATCACAGCGTACAGCCAAAGAACAGCTATCGTGGCTACAATATGAATTGGCCGAACTAATCTTGCTGAAAACGGGAATGCAATAGTGATATAGCGGTATACACTGACCGCTAATAGATTGAGCGATGAAGAGGACAATGCGAGAAAATGAATGGTGTACATAAGCTCGCAAATAACTACGCCGTGAATAAACTTCTTTTGAATATGGTACTCCAATTCCAAAGGCACAGTTATACCCATGAGCAAGAGATCCGAAAATGCTAAACTTGCTAGAAAGCAGTTGAGTTTTGTCCTCAGTTTACGCTGCGTTAAGAAGGCGAAGAGAATAGCGAAATTGCCAATTGAACCAACAGTACACATCAAAAAACCAATGACGGGAAACAACTCTTCAAGAATAGGATCGGAATCATTTGATGAAGCATTTAAACCGCTGTTTGCTCTGTCTATGTTCGATGTGTTTTGATTAGCTGCAGACATTGTATCCAATACTGCCAGTTACTGCCAATCCAAGTTTACTTACGCAGTGTTAGTTTTCTTAAACCTTGAAGCAATCTTCTTAAACGAACGGCCAGATCGCCTTAATATTCTATGGTCTCACCGCATACCAAGGTGTTTCTGTATGAGGGTGGACTTTTAAAACCACAGATTTTAAGCGAATAAGCTCTCCAACTGCGATGTTTACTTTGTCTTTCACCTGGCTTAGAACATCAGAACAATTGAAATTTCGCTGGCTTCCCTGAGGTCCTTATAATCGCTTGTAATCTCTTTCGCTTGCAAAGGACAACTGTTCTTTTACAATTGACAAGCACTCAAGACAATAGCCAATGAGATTTTGCAGCTTCAGCTTCAGCCAATCTGAAGGCTGCATTCGATTTTCTTCAACGTCATCTTTTTAGGCTATTTCCCTCGTGTTTCCGCATTGGATATCTAGCGAAGGGCTCAATAAAAGATTAATGTTTGTATTTAAGCGCTTTGATTAAGAGTTTTGAGTTTCCAACCGCTTTGAATATAAGGAAACATTTACGGCAAACTCTTCATAGAAGTTGCGATCGTGATGTAATTTTACGAAAAGCTACGCGTTTAGGAAAAATTAATTGAATAAACTTAATGACTAGCCGACAGAAGACGATGAATTATGCATAACCATCCGCATGACAGTGGTGTAATCAAATCAATTCAGTTTAAATGAATTTCATCTCGTTCAAGGCTTATCTCTGTCTCGAGCTAATATTTTGGGAAACACAACGATTCAACTAATATTGAATTTTATTCTTATTAATTTTTCGTGTTTTCCCTCTGTTTTTGTCGCGAGGATCCTTTTACTCAGCTTGAAGTTCTCCCATAATTTCGCCGTTGTAATTGCGTGGATTAATTGCATTTCTTTGAAATACTGCTCAAATTTCGGATTTTTGAGTAATTCTCTCTTTTCAAAAATAAAAAAAAAATACATTTCATTTCAATGTTTTAGTCTTCGCTAGAGGTCTCTCTGTTGTGGCCGGTAAATGAAATAAGTTCAATTGACGTTACTGAAATATTTATTCGGAAAGGAAGATAAACTTTGCATTAAATTTATTGACACTCTAGGATAAGAATTGTCGCCACACAGGAGGTGCGACTTAGCCACTTATGACTTTTAGCAACAAGCCTAATTGATCAATCTTTATGCCAATCGCTGTATTCTGTCTGTCCAAGATCTAGAACTTTTTTTTCAATTGGTTTATTGAGGGAAGAAATGTCTACTTATTCCAGAAAGACGGTTTTTTGTTTGCTCCGTGTCCACAAAAGGGATACTAAAGGCTGTTCAGCTAAAATGATTTTCGTTGTCACATAGCTGAAGCTCGATATATCAATGCGAGTAAAGATATCGTTCCTCAACGCACTTCTACATCCCCAATAGCTCGGACTCACCCTATGCTTGCTTCCTATAACATAATTGAATTTTTTCAATTTTTTAATTACAGTCTTTGAATTCTTGCTCAATCGCATCGTGGAACCGCAGCATGAATTATCCCACGATCGGTGAACAAAGTGGATTTCAAACAGCTACACAATTTTTCGAAAATATTAATGCCAAGGTCTTCCCTCTGCTGTGTATCGCGGGTCACCATCTACAACAGGTTCATTGGCACTATGGTAGCTCTCACCATGAAGCCTTTTCCTTAATGTTCAGTCGTTTACAACATGTGGCCTTCTCAGTTGCGGTTTTCATTAAAACAGCGCCGCGCAATATGCAACCGCTTTTGAGTGATCGAAGACATTTTTCATTAACTGTCACGAGCTCCTTTCGCTCGATTTAAAGTGATTACAATAAATTGAATATCTGTGTATTTTAGCCTTTATCAAAGTGTGGCTTCGATGTCATGTTGCAGGAAAGGCGCTAATGCAACAAAAAGCCCCACAAAATTGACATATATTTCAATTTTATTTCTTACGTAACCTGAACGTTCAGGAAGACCAAACTGCAGGAAGGGAAAAGATCATAAAAAAAAGGAACTGCACCGATGCAATTTCGCTATACATCTATAGAGAAAATTCTGAGGAAATAAATCGGAAATATATTTCTCTAGGTTTGACTATAGTTTTTTTATGATAGCCACAGTTCGAAATTAAAAAGTTCTTCGGAAACCCACTAATTAAATTAAACTCAGCCACGTAATATCCCAAATAGAAAATAAACACAAGAAACATACACAAAAGACATCGAAATTATTGCCATGACATCTTTCTCTTTACATGAGTTCACTTTTTAATTTGTTACAGTTTCAACCTGAAACAAATTTGGTGAAGAGATTAATCCTTAGTGACTGACTGCTGTCACTGAAATAGTCTCTCCTTCCGTGACTAAACCATTAGATGGTCTTTTTTTCTCCCGCTGCGATTTTTTCAGATAAATCTAGTCTAATATTCTTCCAAGTTTCATTTGTATCCCTGAAATGATTCCGCTCAATATCTATGAGCGATGTAAAGCTTTTCGTTGTCCTCATTTACATAACATTAGGTCCACTGTAGAGCTTATCTGTCAGAAACTTTCATTAGGCAGCCTTTGAGAAAGTACTGAGTATTGTCAGTCTTTTCAGGTATTTTTTCCAAACCTTCGTTCAGTTTTGTATCCCCATACAGTGTATCTTTCTGTTTCTGTCAAGGACAAAGTTAATTTGCTCAATAGAAACTGCTGCTCAGAAAATATGACACTTTCCCGATATATGTAGATGCCGGAAAAGCAAACAAGTACCCTCTTGTTGAGCCTGTGACTAAATATGAGTTTAAACTCCAATTCTATCCTTGCTCCCAAGTGTCGCGAGCGCGAAGCGCAAAATTGGCGAACATGACGTAGACTAAACTCTCACTAGTGCAAAACAGATAGCGAAAAAAAAAAAGAAAAATTGCCCGAGCGGCACAGTTAGGTCGTCAGTGTTATTTGAGACAGTCATTTATTATTGATGTGAGCCGTTTGACAATGCGGTTGTTTTCATATTGTGTTTGGCAAGGTTTCGTTAGCTCGATACGTTTATTTCTTATTATGTTTACGCTTATATCTTTTTCATAACAGCTTTGAACCTCAGCATCGAATTATGGAGTACAAACTCGATTATTTTCATGCAAAACTGAGTTAGAGAGTCGTCTTTATGTTGGGCAAAACTAACTCCATCCAAGAGATGATTAAAAAAGACTTGGATTATCGGATTAGCTAAAACCACATATTCTGATTAAAAATCCATAAAGAAACTTCATGAAGGAAAATTTAGTATTAACGGATATTTTTTGATGGAAATATTGTAGTTGGATCATTTTTTAAATAGGCGAGCTTATCGGGCGTGTGCCCTGAATCTGCAATTTCTTCCATTGTTAAAAGTTCACGGCAGGGGTAGAATCGGTTTTTGGAGTGCCTCTTAGAGGATCACAGAGGCGGGGGATTCAAAATAGATTGGAAAGGATTGGTGACGGTATGGGCAAAACTTGAAGCTTTATTTTTCACAAATAAACTTTCATTGGTAGATCTAGAGAAAAACAGCGGTCCTGCACAACAGAGGGTCCACCGTAGGTTTTCAGAAAGACTTTTACTCGTATTTCTCCTTATTTTGATTTTTTTACTTAACAGAGGTATCGATGTTACAAGATGCTAGGCAGCTGATCGTCTCGATGTTAAAGTTAAAGTAATTTTGCAGGAAATACCCCATGAACAAGTCATCGATAACTTAATGAGCATTTTCTTTTGGGACGACTGCCCTTGCATATCAGACTTCTCAGAGATTTTCATGTTTAAATTGAAATTTTAGTATATGCATATGCGACACATGGGCCAGTAATCCAAAGTTTTAAAATTAACAAATAGGCGATATATATTCCCTGTCGCTCAACCATGAAAGTACATTAAAAGGAAGACTGAAAGAAGCACACCTGCAGGCCCTAAGATCTTTTCAGAGTGAATTTATGAAAACTGAAAAGCAAGTAGGTTCAAATAAGGTGTCTTTGTAACAGGATAGAAGCTCTTTATGGAGAACAGGTGAAAAGTGCAATAGCTAACAAGTAAACAGAATACACCGCAGTAAATTACTGAGACATTACCCATAGTGCAGGGAGTCACCCACTAGCGAAGAGCATACAATACCTGACAAAGACACTTTCGCCGAATGACGTGAGGGGCAAGGACAATAATAAGACTGAATGTGATACTTTGATAAAAAGGTAAGAAAGAAATCAAGAAATGTGCTATGACGATGGATCCCATGATGCTGCACGGGGGGAATTGATTGATGGAGCGCGTTCTTGACTTCTGCGTATGTCGGTCTTTTGCCCAAGTTAACTGCAACAATCCGGCTAAAACTAGTATATGCGTAAGCTGTTTTACTTTTAGATACGTGATGGTAGGACCAAGAGAGATGTCCTTATATAGGCCAACCCGAAAAAATCAAATTCAAGCAAATGGTGACGTGAAAAATATCTGTGTACTTGATTGAGATCGAGGGCATCATTCATGGGAGAAAACATTTGAGTCATAACTTACTCTTAATACAAACTGAAAGTACGATTTATTTTTGTTAGCCGGTCCCTCTAGCTCATAGCTGTAGAAGACTGATGGTGCATGAGCTATGGAACTAGGTTCATGGGACAAATATTCTATATTGTGCCAGCCGGAGCTCTTGCAGCGATGATAGAGGTTGAGATGAATTGTTTTAGGCCCAGTGCTTATTCTGGAAACTTTCTTCGCCTACGTCCCTAGCCTCGACTAATCCTTTCAAGATCAAGGAGATGCGGATTTTGTTCAGACAATTATTCTCTCAGTGGATGCGTCACCTAAAACCTATGTATCAATTCACCATAGGGTTTTCCGCGACGATAGCTTTTTGTGGTCAGACAATGACTCTTAAGGCTCGCCACTTTCGTTATCTTATCTCTTCCCCAGACCATACACCCAGTGGCGGTCATTGGAAGATCTTGGCCACATTACATTTATTTTGAATGTGTCTTCCTACTTTAGACATAAACAGGTAAACAAATGGATGCACCTGCTCCTCCTGTTTCGATGAAGATTTCATTCTGCCAATGATCCTATTTACCGAAAAAGGAATCCAAATGACATCGGTACAAGTCAAATTTTTTTACCCGCAGCTATCGAAACCTACCCAATTTTCAAATTTTATTTTTTTAATTTCGAATAGGATTTTAGAGCAAATGGAGGGGTGTAAAATCGAGAACTAGAAAGGAAGCGAATGATGATGAATTAGCTTTGCAGAGTCCTATTTCGTACACACTTCCAGCGCTTTCCGCTAGAGCTAGATTTCGCCGACATCCCATGGTAAATGATTAGTATGTAAACAGGTGTAATGTTGCGCGATAGAAATCTCATTGATGTCGCCGGTTTTTCTTGCAAAAAATTCAGTAATTAACAAATAAAACTTTGTACAGTTGGGCTCTAAGTGCAATTAGCAGAGAGTTTTAGGCTTTTTTTTTCTAGAAAGTTTAGACAAAGGAAACTGATTGGTTTTCGGTACTCTGAAAAATGTATGAACTTCCACTTATGGATGAATCTACATGTAAGACGTCTTATGTGTCCCATGGAAAGATAAAAAGTTGATGCTGTGCCATGACTTGCTCGTCTTCTTAGATTAAGTCAAAACTTTCAAAGTTCGTCATTTGGGATTTACGTCTACCCTTTTAGAGGCTTGTATGCGAGCGTAAAGGTACTTGCACAAATCACAAATAAAAAGGTTTATATAACATGCCATGGCTGTTTTAACGCACCGTCTATTCCAGAAATGATAAGCTATGACTCTGTGTACAAAAGTAAAATATGGATTTAATCGGTTTTTCCCACGAAAAAGTTCTAAACAATTATGCTACCTGCGACGAGCGACGGTTATTTATCGTAGCATCATCATAGAAGTGGCACTTAGATATAACACTCAATCTATGTCCACCTGCACACTTATCTTGTTTTAGTAGTGAATATATGAAAGAAGAAAAAATAGACATTGCGTACAGGAAGGCACTCTAAAGATAGCAAACAAAACAGTGTCTGGACCAAATTCATCTTATCCTTGCTTTCTATTTGGCCCACGCTTTCCGCTTTTAGAGGAGATATCGAGTATCTAATGGCCGAGTAATGCGATGAACTACAATTCTATGTAATCTATATTTATAGGACCTTCCACGCTAATCTGTCAAGCAGTATGACGTACAGGCAATGTCACATTTATTGAATTCTTACCGTCAATTTTTTTTTTTTCGCATTGACCTTCCCCACTTGCATGAACTTGAATGGCCAATTCTTTCGCTAATTTTACTAAAAGGAAATACTGAACATAACACTCACTTTGAATAGAACACGATTGAGAAAGTCGGCGACGAAATACAGCTTTAATGTGGACGCCTTATCAAAAAACTTGAGACTGCAAGCTGTAACAAAACGAAAATAATTTTTAAATAAAAGCCGGAATCGAAAGCCTTTAGGACCTAACACAAGTAGAAGGAAAAGCACTAAATAGTGGCCGCGCAGAACCTTTTACTGTTTCATTGCATATTGCATCACTATATGTTATGTAACAAGCGTGAGGCAAGAAAGGCTGGATATCATTTCTATCAGCGTTTACATGGAATCGACAAAAAAGGACGAGTGTGATACCCCGCCAGTCATCTACTACGAATAGGCTTGGTAAATAAATATAAAGGATTTATTTCGTGGCTAATGCAATGCAAAGCTCAAAAACGAACAGAAATTTCCAGAGAGCATGTTCACCGGCGTTAGGGAGATCAACGCTCTCTATGTCGCTTCGTCACTTTTTGAAGTGGCATTTTCTTCCATCGCTGCAATAACAAGGCATATCTCAATTTGTAAGCACAGACGATAAGCAAATAACTAACTAAATAGATTAATTTACAAAAAAACAAACAAAAAAAACAGCAATGATAAATTTTACAAAGGTTTTAGCGCGGTCTAAACTCGAAACAAAAATAAGCTGGTGCCGTGGTTCAACTCAAAAATGGTTTTTTCAGTGCTGTCAGTACAGATCATGGCCATGAGTCGGTTCTAGATTTGTTTTCTATCTTATCTCAAGTTGTTTTATCTCACGTTTAAGCAAATTGAATCCAATTGCAACCGCTGGTGGACAATTATGCGCCAAAGAAATCGAGAGGTGGCTTATCTTTTTTCAAGACGAAAAGAAACCACAGCTCGTTTCTAAAACTTATAGACCAGGAATAGCACTAATATCATATTGTTTGGTACAACCGACACATTTTAGACTGGCGAAAAATTTCCTTAATAACGAAATTTGTCAGTTTTTTTCTATGCGAGTTTTAATTCATCATCTGAACTTCACCTACCCTTTCCCTCGCGTTTTGCTTCTGAAGACTGAAAGAATAAAACGGTCAGAAGACTGAGTAAGGCAAATGATCCTGGAAGGATTGAAAATACGTGTCGCACATAGTCGCTACACTCTTGGCATTCTTCAGACGAACTGCAAGCAAAAACAAAAGATTTTAATGATATTGCCTGGCGTTTGTGGGAAAATCTGGGTGTCTTTAGTAGTCTTGAAACCTGCTTCATAGATACCTTGAGTAGGAGAGTGTTGGTTGTGGGAGACAAATCTTTCAGAGGAATTAATCACCACTAAATTTCAAGAATATTTGAGAAATTATTTCATTTAGGCTTGTATCGCGCATGTAAGTTCTCATCAGTGTTTGATCAGTTCCAAGTCGATAATGTTCTATCGGTATGTAAAAGTAGTGAAGATGGCGACCTTAATCATTACCTCCCTTCTGGAAAGAGCTTTTGCGCAATGGCGAATGTGGCTCCTTGCATTAGATACGACATGTCAGCTACGAAGGCAAATACGAAACCAGAGGTTTTCTAAAATGAGAATAGTACAGTATAAAGGTGTGCGAAATGTACATACGCTCAAGTTCGAGAGTGTTGATCTTAATAGATATCGGTCTCGTAGCTAACAGTTTATCAAAAACGAGAGCAAGAGTAAAGTTTTACTATAGGCGGTGTACCCGGCGAGAATGTTGTCATGTAGGACATAGATTCTTCTATATTTCTCTAGTGCATCGTACATGTCAACACACCGTCACATGGTAATGCAGCTGTGGTGCAACGCCAAGACTGAGTACCCGTATGGGACTTATTCCAAAAACAAACTACTGGCAAGCTTTACACCGTTACGGCTGCTGTACCTGGCCGCGAGCGCTGGTTGTGATGAGAGACAGAAAATACAATTGGATCTCAAAATAACAAAAAAAAAATAAATAAAAAAAAAAAATAATAAATAAAAAATAATAATAATAATAATAACTTGAGGGGGGTTACACTTAGAATGAGGTCTCCGACGCCTTAACACTCATTCTCTTTCATTGGGAAATTAATTTCTATTTTAAGAGTTTTGTGTTTTGTTTTTTTTTTGTTTTCGTTTTGTTTTTTGTTTCATAGCCTGGTATAACCGTGCCTAAATCAATTAGTGAAAACAATCAAAACTTCTCAGTATAGATTACTCGACTCACTTGATTGTCTCCAATAAGTTCTGTTGTGAAGCAAAGGGAATTGACAAACATAGCGGAGAAGCCAGCACCCAGTAAAGCAGCAGCCGGGTAGATCTGTACTCTGATGGAAGGAGTAATGAAGTAAAACCAGAAAGAGGCTCCAATCACTAAAAGAGCAGCAAAAAGGGATGACCCCTATAAAGGAAATGGCGACTTTAGATGATATTTTTGGTCTTTTTAGAGTCATAAGTTTATATACGAAACCATTCACTAAACAACAAGAGGAATCACTTTGAAGATAGCCTACCTTACGGTTTCCAATAGTTCACTCTCCGTGTTTACAAAACTTCTCACAGTAATTTTGGCAACAAGTTAATGGAACTCCGCTGATTCCACTGACGTACAATTTCCGAACAAAAGAGCCAATTCCGGAGAGAGAGAAAGAGCTAGAGAAGTGAAGACCGCAAGGGCCTTAAATATAAGTCTGAAGGCTCATGGCCTCCTTAGTTGTTCCCTCAATTTTTATTTGACGTGTGTGACTTTGACGTTTTACCAAGTTGATATGCTTTTATTTCAATCATTTTGGTTTTGAACTGTGATGTCTAAGAACTTGGAAGGCAACTGAAGTGGTGAAGTAAATGTGCGATACGAACGCGCATCAAATCTAAAATTATAATAGTAACATCTAGCATATATAAAAAAAAATGCTCAGCTAGCATTTCCTTTCTGTGAATCTTACCGCTGTTTTTATTTTATTTTTATTTTTTTAACAATTTAACAGCAATGTCCATTTACTGTATAAAGGCTACTGTCAGTGGGACAATTCCAAAACTTTCGCTCACTACTATCGCCATTTCTGTTGGATCCTAACATCAATCAATTAAGACTACCCTTCTCACTATCGTCGAGATCAAGGTAGGTTACGAGACTACAAAGAAATTATTATTAGCATGAAAAAAACGTGCCTTACTTTTCTTCCTATTTTTCCGTCAAGTTTCTTAGATATCCCACTGGAAACAATTGAACTTAGTAATATAACGAGAGGCAGATAAGCAATTGCTTCCTGAAAGGAAAATCAGTAAAGGTCTTTAAGTTTGTAACAATTAAGAAATCAGATTACCAAGTTGAACAGAGTTACATCGAAGATGACTTGAACCGTATTGACATAAACAGAGAAGGCGATAAATTAAACTTGAATGTCTGTCTGTCTGAATAACTGGCAGACAGGTTGAATGACTAACTGACAGGTTGACTAACTGACAGGTTGACTAACTGACAGGTTGACTAACTGACAGGTTGACTAACTGACAGGTTGACTAACTGACAAACAGGTTGACTGACTGACAGACAGGTTAACTGACCGACTGACTGAGTGACTGATGGACTAGCAGACAGAGAGACAGACAGAATTAATTCGCGTTTTTCTCGCTGCCATGTTCCCTCCAATAACGTAGCTCCATTTTCTGCCTTTAAAAGCACACACAGCCCACAATTCCTCTACTCGCTCCGACGACCAAGAACGCTTCGAAACGTCAGCTTTTGTAATCGTTACGGTGGCCAATTTACCCTTTCAACTTTGTTGATATATCCAAATTATTTTGTTACCCCCACCGACGCAGCCCCTAACAGTTTCTTTAGAAGCTATCAGCCTTTAGACAGACAGACTGACTGACTGACCGACGGATTGATTACCTGTTATTGTAGGTGTTATCATACCTTTTCAAACTTTAGTGTGTCGGTAAGAAATAGTGGTAAATAGGAGTAAGAAACATTTTGTGCAACCTTTGCGCACCCGAAAATGATAGCGACCTGTCGAGAATAAGGGAAAAAATTAATATTGATTTCCACGGTGCCTACGAAAGTGAATGGTGACACGAGAAAAGAGTTCATGAACCCGCAGAAAAAGTATTTACTTATGGGAAATGAAAATGACCAAAGCCGCATTGACTACGTCCAAAATGAACCGATCTGTTACCCACCTTTCGAGAGAGATGGACTCCTCGTTAAAAGAATATGCCCACAATTAAGATGATGCTATAACAGTAAGATTATTTATCAAAAACGGCTGGTAAAAATACCTATTAATTACCTTGTACAAGTGAGGATTCTTTAACCAGGCTCGTACACTCATTTGTTCTACTATTTGACCACCATTTTCGTCAACGTCAGTCTCCGCTATTGCAGAGGTCATTTTGCCAGTTTCTGCAATGTCCGTTTTTCTCAACAGCGTGCTTGGCGCTGGAGACTCATTTAATGTCAGCCTTGTCTCATTGTAATCAAAGCCTTCATTTTCTGTAGCGAATGTCGCAGTTGGAGCGGAAGTCTTTCTCTTCTCTTTACAGTTTTGGAAAGATAATTGTTGTACATGGGCTTCATACGACGTTGAACCATCTTCATTGTTATTTGACGAGCAAGAGATTTCTTCACAATTCTTGGGGGAATCGGAATCAAAATTCACCGCAATGTGTTCTATCTCTTTTGGCAAATTTGGTAAACGCTTGTTATTTTCATTACCGTCTCCCGTGAGTTTGTCTAAAATACTCATGATGAGGCTTATTTTTCGCTCCTGAGGCAGCTTGCTGACGTTCTCGCACACTTCCTCTTCTGGCGTTATAAACAATTCACGCCCTTTGCATTTTGCTGATGGCTTTTCCGTCAAAACAATATCGTCGGAAGGTGGTGTTTGCGTTTTATGTTTACCTTCTTTGTTAGAAAACAAGGCCGTAAGAAAACGCATTGGGAACATGTCCATGCTTCTCTTTCTTTCAACATTGTCAGCGGCTTGGACTGTAATAACTTCTCCCTTTGTCTTCAGAGCGTCTACGAATAAGTCGCACATTCGTTCCTTGCGTTTTTGATCTTAAAGAAACAACAAATAAAGATATCCTGAGTCAGTGTCACTTGAATATCTCGAGTGATAAACTTAAATCCTCAATTCATCTGAACGTACTCGTTACCTCGTGCCTTATCTACTACTTCGCACATCATCGATGGTAGAGCACCATCCGATGGAACAAAGGAATTTTTTCTCTGCAAAGAAAGAGTGAACAAATTTAATCATAGAAGCTTCCAAGCACGGTTATTCAAAGCACTCAAGTCGGTTTAAAAAGGTGTTTAAGTATTAGATATTGGTGATATACCAAAGTTTTCCCAGGTTCAAAACATCACGCACACTGAACGCTCCCTCAAAATTTCCACATGCAAGAGTGAAAAGGCGCCATGGTAACCGGGCTAAAACACCACATGCCGGTTTCACCTTTCTGGAAAGGCTTTTTTGGCCCAACAATAATACCAGGGGTTCATTTTTTGGCAAGAGAGGAATGTTTCCCTTGCAAAGAGAATTTACTTTCAACTGATAATTTTTTTGTCGGAAAATGAAGAAGCATTTCGTCAAGTTGAACTTAGTTGCAAGTTATCCCTGCTTTCTCTAATCTAAGACTTGAATTGTGCTTGAAATTGTCTTTTTTGAAATATCTTCGTTCACCCCCGAGGACAAAATTCATATCCTCGTCAGAGGCCACGTGATATCAACTATTTATACTCATTTAGACACTATATTAAACAATTTCTTTACCATGCGCTCTACCACGCTAGCCGCCAACTTCCCCGTTGGTTCTGAATTTCCGGAGGGCTCTACTGTAACAATGTGAAAAATAAGACCAAAAACGAGGGCTACTCCGACCAGAATCACCGTGGCGACCTTGGAAAGAAGGCGATATTTAATAAGAATAACCTGGCCATGTACAAGATAGCTTGTAACAGACGAGGAAAAACTAATTCCGGTGTCAGTAAGTTCTGTTTACCGTGAAAGCCATGGAATTTTCAGGTGATAGACGATCTCTGTTGTCTTGTCCTAGTATCGCCCATGTCACAAGGTAAATAATAACACCAATTACGAATGTAAAGCCGGTTCTTTGAAAAATAACAAATATAAAACTAAATTAGTAAATAGATGAAATTCTTTGGAGTCTTTGTCCAGGAGAGGGTTCACAGTCAGTGTGAATTTGTGCCTCAGGTTGCGGTTTACTCAATTAAGGGAACTCGTTCAAAAAAGTTTGCACACAGATCTTGATTGTGCGCTAAACCATGGCTCGATCTGGAAACACCTCTATGAAGAGACAGCTCTTCTTCCCTTTCTGAGAAATGCCTTCTGGGAAAGTACGTAGGAGATAAACAAACTGTAGTTTTTTTTTTTTTTAATCGCAGTTCCACACGAAAGAAAACGTTGCAAATGGAGGAATAAATCGACTTTGAATACGGGAGCTAGAGACGTGTGCAGTAAGCAGCAGTCATGCATATCTACAATCCTGTTTCCCAAGAGTGCAGCAAAATAAATGAATTTCTGATTGTTCTTATTGAAATCGATCTACTGTGATCAATGGAAAAATCATCTTACGTGACAAATAATAACATACCTTAGTGCGCTTAACCCAGATACTTCTTTTTTATTCTTAGCAATCGCAGGAACCAGTGAAAGGTGACTGATATTTATGAGAGCTAAAGCGAGCGCCATAAATGTGTATAGTATGGCAGTTTACGTCAAGGACAACCATTGACTACCATGACAAAATTTACAAGAGCTGTAAAAAAGAGGCGTAGTGATTGCTCCTATAATGGTTCCAATAAGATGCCACGACTTCTTTCTTCCAAGCTTCAGGGACAAAATGGGAATCTTGACCCGGTCCACCAAGAACGCTCCAAATGGCGATAGCACAATTAAACAACAATAGCAAAAAAGTTTCATCCATCCAGCATTAGCCGCAGACAGGCCTAGTACTTTCAAGAAGAAAACCAATCTGAACGAGTTAACAAGCTGCCTTATGACTTCACCTAATGCGTGTCCCACTCCATAGGAAAAACGTTGAATTCCAGGAGTGCGATTCTCGGGACTTTTTCCAAAATCTCCACGGCGCAATTTTGGCATCTTCGTGTTCCGTGCAACACTAGAAGAATGATTTTATTTGATGAGCTGAATTTCATATAGNCTCCAGCCTCATGGCCTACTTAGGATGATGCAAAGTTCGCTGCATGTTATACCACGAACGTTAAGCGTTTCCTAGTTACCGTGGTTATTTCAAACTGTTTTACAAATGTTTATAATTAAGGAGTTAGATGTTATGGCAGAGTGGGAAACATCTCAGGAAATAGTGATGCATGCACATACCACGGCTCGGTGATTTTCGAGAGGAAGCATCAATAATGCTTTGAAACATATAAGGGGTCCTTAAGGGTGGGTGCTCACGTTCAGGAAAATAAAAGTCAAAAGAGTCATCAAGAGCGACTTTTTTTCAAGACCGCGTGAGAGGTGGCACATCGACCGAAAAATGACTATCCTCATATTTCAGTCAGAGACACCTTATAGTGAACTTACAAACGTGGTAAGGTTTTTTTCCCAGACTTACTTCTTTATCCTAGAAAATTCACGAAAACTGAAACGAGCGTCGGTAGCCGTAAAATGGCGGAAATCAGTGCCCCGAGTAGTGGCAAATGAGCTCTGCTCATGAGAAGCGCAAAAGGAGGCAAGATCGTATCAATTTTGAAAGATTTGTTTAGGAGGGATGAGGTGTGACTTAAGTATAAAGCGGGACCATTTCATTTAATTTTGACAGCACGGAACGCTTTTAAAAAATATTTCAAAATCCAAATATCGCATTTCGTAGCAAATTTTCAATTATCATTTTCCCCATGCGGTATGTTTCCTTACTCGGAACTGGTCAGCTCAGACGACCACCACAAACTGTATAATATTATCCAATATTTAATAATTATTCGATCTAAGAGAAATACATTTGTAATTGGAAATCAGTAAAACAAAAATTAAGTCTTATACTCGTAGTAAAATTCAAGAAAAATATGATTGGAAACTTACTTCTGTGGTGGGTCGTATTAAACAGGTTTCTCACTTCAGGTTAGCAGATTCGGGTAAGCGAACAGATATAAAAACCGACTTCTCTCTCTTAGTGATTCTTCAGAAAAAAACTGGTTTAAAACACGACAAGCTAAAACTTTTAAATCATTTTAAGGAATTAATGTTAACCACGAGTTGTATTAAGTAAAATATATCTGTCATTAAAGGCAGCGCCTATTTACCAAACGAAACACGGTATAACTGAGATTCGGTTCAGGCTAAGCTCATAATGAGTAGAAATAGTGTTGTTTTCGAGGATATTGAAAAATTAGTTTGGGACTTTTCATTTCCGCACGGAAAAACCAGGTTGAACTTTGTGAAAATCACAACCTCATCATTTACGTCACGACATAATCTAATTAGGCACCACTGTGTCCCGTGTTCGATTCCCGGACCCGGCGTCATAAGTGGATCGAGTTTGTTTGTTCTCTACTCTCCTCCGAGCGGGTTTTTCTCCGGGTACTCCGGTTTTCCCCTCTCTTCAAAAACCATCATCATTTGAATTTATTTAATTTAGAGTTTATTTGGATTTACACACGACCCCACAGGCTGTTCGGCTTTAAACATTATCGTGTCTAAATAAAGGTGTTATTATTATTATTATTATTATTATTATTATTATTATTCTTTTGATCCTAAATGTAATAAAGTCCTAAATGTAATAACATTTGGTCCTAAACGTAATAACCCTCCAATGCAATAGTTGAACTGTGCTTGTGGATCCATGTTGAGATGTTAAAGTGACAACTGTTGCACCAGAGAATCCTCTGACCAAATTCATGGCGTATTATGGGCTCTCTCGCTGATTTTAATCAAGTCGTTTTTTTGCTTGCGATGTAGGCCGTGAAGCATTGGCTACAAACCTTCATACTGATGTGCTTTTGGCATCAAATTGACAGATCCCAAATCAATAGAACGCTGACCAATCCGGCCATCTTGACCGAACAGGCATGGTCAAGAGATTTGACATTTTCGGCAAGTAATTTTTCACGGAAAAAAATGCGTTTTCTTCTTAGTAATAACGGATAACGGAAAATAGTATGTTTGTTTTATGTATCGCGACTGGCATATCATTCACAATTCACGGCTCTTAACTCTTTACAATCACGAGTCACGGCAATTAACAACAGCCAATCACGTTTCACTGAAAACCCCCACATTTACATTTAGACATAGAGACGAGACGGACGAGGCGAAATTATTTGTCTGACCATTTAATAATTATAATGCAGATTTAAAAGACAAAAACCTGCGACTAGTTGTTGGAAAATCATCGCATGAAAACTGAAAACTCTTAACCTTGGGATCCCAAAGAAATTTATGAGAAGACAAATCCGAATTTGCGGAAGCACTGTAGCAGTTGTAAACGAACGATGTAGTTAATTTAATATTGCCACTAGTGTTGTTTACCCATTCAGACTGGGAACAATCTAGGATATGTGAAAAAAACTGAAGCAGAAACTGTTTCCAAACAGAATTTACATAAACTTCAACATTGCCTACATTGAAGGATACAACCCGTCAATCGATAGCGGGTAAAGGCGTATTCTTTGCATTTTCTTCTCAATACATAGGACATTGTATTTTAATTTCGCCTCAGCGTCTTCCAAAATATACCACAAGCTGTGGTGGACATTATGTTGAAAGAAATCGAAAGTGATAACCTGAACTCAAGAACATTGGCAGCTGAAGGCTTTTGAAAAGTCCCGCAGTATATGTACTTTCCTTAGTCTTAAAACTTAAGTCTTAAGAAAGTTTCAGGGTAAACTTGAGCTTCATTGAGGACTTGAAAGGGGACAATTCAATCATTTATAACGGCAGGTCGAGTGTTCTTTGCCGAAGACGTTGAAGACGGGAAGCAATCTGTGTGTAGATATGACACACACTTAAGCATTTGTCACGCAAGGCTGAAATTATTTCGTGTACGGCCACGAATATCGGCCATGAAAAGCTTTTTTTAAACTTTTTATTGGCTTAGCCATTATGGTATATGGGCCAATATACAATAATGGCTAAGAAACCGGATGTACATTGTAACATCCGGTTTCTTCTTACAAAATAAAGTCAAGAAGGTTTGTCTAATATCTTGGGGGCGTTTTTTTTTAATAAAACAATTATTCCATACGCGCCTCGTTGGCTATCTATCATCTCATATCCAACGCGCACTCGTGGAATAATTGTTAATTGTCAGTTAGTCATTGCTAGCGCTGTGAGACTTGTTAACTTCGCAGCGGGGATCTCATGCAGACTGAGTTGAAAGTAATAGTGACATTACCAAGAAGAGCCAATAAGCGGAACACAAAACAACAAATAGCTATCGAAAAAAGATTAGGGAAGGGATCAAAAGTGAGAGTAAAGGCGAAAAAGAGGCAAAATACAAAATGACTGAAATAGGACAAGAATACCAAGTATGGAGCTGGAAACAGAATGAAATAGATAGGGTGAACTAGACCTGAGGATAAATGTATGACAAACGATGTGCCATTTGAGATCACTACTACAAACCAAAGAATCTTAGCTGAATATTAAGAACGTTCTTCCCAAATTGAGAGCTTTAGTTACAAAACTCACGGAAATTGATTGGGCTGGAAACTGTTCGCAAATTAAGACAACCAGGTTGAGAAAAAGGTAATTCTTTTGATATTTCAGCTAATACTATTTCAGCTTATGTCGTGCCGTAAAGTCATTTCTGAACACTAAAGGCTCTCAGTAATACCGAAAATGAGCCCGAAATAGATTTAATTCTAGATCGAACACCAATTCTTAACACACCTTCCAGCAATCAGACTAGATCACCTGTTCCAGACATCCCTGTGTTTTAGGCGTT